AAAATCCTGAGTTCTGTAGCAATTTTTTTTGCCTGTCTCCCTGAAGTTTAGGAAAAAGATTTTCTTAAACTCCTGGGGTTTGGCTCTAGATTAGAGTTTTCATTTAACTTCTATAAATCTGACTTCTGGTCTAGTAAGTTTACAATGTGATTTTGATTTTCCTGAGAAAACCCTGAAGAAAAGGTATGTCACTTAGAAGGTCAGGGACAGCTGAAGAGAGAGAGAAAAATGCCAGGAGGGTAGGTTTCAGAAGGTTGCAAAATCTTTCAGAGAGACGGTCTTGGAATTAGAATTTTCTTTTGAAGCCTCAGCATACCAATTAACAAAGCTGACTGTTCACTGGTGTTCTGTCTTCTCAGTTTAAAAAATTGATTTTATGTCAAAAGTTCTCATAATTGTTATTCTATGTTGATTTTTTTCTAATTTACCAATGAAAATGCAAGACTTTGGATTATAAGTAGTTTTATATAAGGGGCAGAAGTTCTTCTAGGAGGAGGTGGAGACTTTGACATAGGTAATTTGCAAGAAAGGGAGGCCATGGTGGTTGATTGACAACGTGTATTTTGTTAGTGTCACAGATTCTCCAGCCAAGCAGGATGACTAGGAAGAGTCTGTATAATCAACAGTCACAAACTCTACAGATCACTAATCCCAGAATATGGACTAATCAAAGTGATCTTTTTTTGACAAACTGACAGGACAGTGTTCTCATGAAGGTTCTGCAGGATACTTAAGGCAAAGTTTCATCAATCACTTTTTCAACAGTTGATCACCAATCCAATGGGACTTCCAATTGTTAGGGCTTAGGGCTGGCTTGTACTGAAGACTTATCAGGTTTATACTTCCATCTGTTTCCTATGGAACACTCCCTTATACATTAAAAATAGATAAAACAATAAAATATAAACAAAACACATGAAACAAGACTTCGTAATACAGACAAACAATAGCAAAAGCAAGAAGAAAGAGTAAGCAGGTTAATGGCAAAAATATATTCAAAACAAAATAAAACGTCTAATAACTTCATACAAAGATGTAAGCCTAATTATAGAATACACTCCAAACTAAAAGGTCTAATTATTCAACATAAGAACCTATGTCTGTGGTTCTATTCCTAGTTTGTTGTTTTTTCTGGTAGGGGTGTTAGATTTGTCAAATGTTTTTCTGCATCTATTGAGATGATTGTGTGGCGTTCGCCCTTTATTAATATGGTGTATTGCATTCTTAATTCTCATATGTTGAACCTGCTTTTCATTCCTGTGAATTCCCATTCACTCATTCATGGTGTATGAGTCTTTCTATATTTTGGTGGATTCATTTTGCTATTATTCTGTTGAGGTGTTTTTGTGTCTACGTTCATATGGGATGTTGGTCTGTAGTTTTCTTGTGATGTTTTTGTTTAGTTTTGGTATCAGGGTAATTCTGGCTTCATAGAATGAGAAGAGAAGTGTTCCTTTCTCTTCTATTTTGGGGGAACAGTTTGTCAATGATTGGTGCTAATTCTTCTTTAAATGTTTGGTAGACTTCATCGATGAAGCCATCTTTGCCTGGGCTTTTTGTGGAATTTTTTTTTTACTTATAAGTTCAATTGCTTGTTATGTCTAATCAGATTTTCTATTTCTTCTTGAGTCGTTTCCAGTAGTTTGTGTCTTTATAGAAATTCGTCCATTTCATTTAGGTTATCTAATTTGTTGGTATATAACTGTTTATAATACTCCCTATAATCCTTATTTCTGTTAGATCAATAGTAATGTCCCCCCTTTCTTTCTTGATTTTAGTAATTTTTTTAATTATTATTTTTTAAACTTTAATTAATTAATTTATTTTGGCTGCACTGGGTCTTAGTTGTGGCATGCATGCGGGATCTAGTTCCCCAACCAGGGATCAAACCCAGGCTCCCTGCATTGGGAATGCAGAGTCTTATCCACTGGACCACCAGGGAAGTCCCAATTTTAGTAATTTGAATCTTTTTTTTCTTGGTCTAGGTAAAGCTTTGTCAATTTTGTTGAAAATTGCAAAGAATCAATTTTTGGTTTTGTTTTCTCTTTTTTAAAATTAATTAATTAATTAATGTTTTGGCCGTGCAGCTTGCAGAATCTTAGTTTCCTGGGTCCCTGCAGTGAAAGCAGAGAGTCCTAACCACTGTAACCACTGGACTGCCAGGGAATTCCCTCTCTATTGTTTTTCTATTCTCTATTTCATTTATTTCCTCTCCAAGCTTTATTTCCTTCTTTTTATTTTAATTTTTTGGCCGCACCACACAGCACATGGGACCTTAGCTCCCTGAGCAGGGATCAAACCCGTGCCTCCTGCAGTGGAAGTGCAGAGTCTTAACCACTGGACCACCAGGGAAGTCCTTTTATTTCCTTCTTTTTGCTTGAAGTTTAGTTTGCTCTTCTTTTTCTAGTTTCTTAAGATGGAAGGTTAGGTTATTGATTTGAGATCCTTCTTTTTTTAATACACGCATTTACAGCTATACATTTCCCTCTAAGAACTGCTTTTGCTGTATCCAATAAGTTTTGGTATGTTGAGTTTTAATTTTCATTCATCTCAACGTATTTTCTAAGTTCTCTTGTGATTTCTTCTTTGATCCATTGACTAAGTTTTTAAAATTTCCACCAGATGGGAGCATCCCAAATTTCCTTCTGTTATGGATTTCTAATTTCATTCCAGTATATTTGGAGAACATACTTTCTATGATTTTAATCCCTTTAAATTTATTGAAAATTATTTTATGGCCTAACAAATGTTCCGTCCTGGGAATGCTCCATATACACCAGAGAAGAATGTGTATTATGCTGTTGTTGGATGGTGTATTCTAGACATATGTAGGTCTAATAGGTATATAGTGTTGTTCAAGTCTTCTGTTTCATTGTTGATCTTCTGTCTAGTTGTTTCCTATGATTTTATATCAATTACTCAATTCCCTGTATTAGATTTTTTTCTTCTTCTTAAAATAGCTTGAGAGATTTATTTTTGCTACCTCTAAACCCTGTTATACTCATCAATAAGGAATTAGTTAAATATATTGATATTAAGGCACATGCCTATGATTGTATTCTCTAAGGTCACTAAAACTATATTCTAGAAAATTAAGACACGGGAAAAATGTCACAATACATCCTTGCATGAAGTAGGCAGACTATAAATAATATGTACTGTTTGATTCCAGTTTTGTTAAAATAAAAAAGACTGGGGCTTCCCTGGTGGCGCAGTAGTTGAGAGTCTGCCTGCCGATGCAGGGGACACGGGTTCGTGCCCCGGTCCGGGAAGATCCCACGTGCCGCGGAGCGGCTGGGCCCGTGAGCCATGGCTGCTGAGCCTGCGCGTCCGGAGCCTGTGCTCTGCAACGGGAGAGGCCACAACAGTGAGAGGCCCGCGTACCGCAAAAAAAAAAAAAAAAAAAGACTGTAAAGAAACTTCAAGAATCAAGAATGGGGACTTCCCTGGTGGCACGGTGGTTAAGACTCTGCACTCCCAATGCAGGGCGCCCGGGCTGGATCCCAGGTCAGGGAACTAGATCCCACATGCAAGCCACAACTAAGAGTTCGCATGCCACAACTAAGGAGCCCACCTGCTGCAACTAAGACCTGGCACAACCAAATAAATAAATATTAAAAAAAAAAAAAGAATTGAGAATGATTTGCTCAGGGTAAATGAAGCAATAATGTTCTAACTTGCCTTTTTGATTCTAATCCTGTCCAGAAGTAGCAAGTACTGAGTAGTTGGTAAGGCTTTAAAACTATGGTGTACAGAATTCCAGGTCCACCTTTGACTAGGTGTGTTACCTTGGCACACAACTTTCCAAGTAGAGGCTAACAATAGTACCTGTATCAAAGGGCTGTTATGAGGAGTAAATGAGATGATACATTAAGTTCTTAGTCATAGTGCTTACCACATAAGTGCTTAATAAATGTTAGCTATTATCTTCCATCTACAGTTCATTCTCCATACCACAGCCAAAATGTAGAAGGTCACTCCGTTGTTAAAACCATCCACTGGCTTCCGGTCTCAGAAAAAAAAAAAAAAAAAAACAAGCTCTTTACCCCTAATTAGAAATTCCGACTTGATCTGGCCCCTGTTTATCACTTAGATCTTCTCTTTGTTTCTTCCCCTCAGGCACAACTCTCCAGACATACTTTCAGACATTCTTTCTGATCTTAAAACACCCTTGCTTGTTTTACTTATGTATTTACATTACTTATTCTGCCTAGAAAAAACTTCACAGAAATACTTGCCATTTGGAAGTCAAATTTAATCTTCTTAGAGAAGCTTTCTCTGACTACCTCTCTAAATTAGTGACCCAGTTACTCTCTATACCATTACCCTATTTTCTTTTTTTTTTTTCCTATTTTCTAAATGGCACTACTTACCGATATATTTTAAAAATTTCCTTCTCCTACTTGTTTTGTCTCTTCTTACTAGAATATCATTTTCATGAAATCAGTACCTGATACACACGTACTACATATTCAATTTCTGTCCAATGAATTACATTTCGATGTGTTTTATTTTCCTTTTATAAAATAAAATTAATCTTATAGAATTGAAGTAGTATTTTAGGAAGCACAACACAGTAGTCCGTCATTAGTCGGCCTGAGTTCAAATTCAGCTACTACAGCAAACTAGATGTATGTCTCTGGGCAAGTTTCTTAATCCTGGTTCCTCACTTGAAAAATGGGAATGTAATCTATTTCGTAAGGTATTGCAAAAATTAAATAACACAACATAGGTAAAAGCGCTTCAGGACTCAATGAAACTTTTCTAACATTACAAAGAAACCCTAATTGCTTCTTGACAAAGACCTCAGCGCGTACCTCTGCACCCACAACTCGGCAGGGAGCTGAGGAGTCGCTCTAGCGGCCACCTTCGCCTCTATAGAACGCAGGGGCAGCCGGGAAAGGGGAGTGGGACCCTGAGGCCGGTGTACGCACTTCCGCCCCCGCGTCACTCGCAGCCAATCGGCCTCTGATGCCCAACCCCCTTCCGCTCTAGGGAAAAACCAGCTCCTAGGCCGTCTTCCGGCAGGAGCTGTGCCGCTCCTTATCATGGTGAGTTGGCCAGGGTTGTGAGGGTTTCTGTCGTAAATGATTCCTCTTATCCTTTCTGGTCCTGAAGCGGCCTTGAAATGCCTCAGCCACCCAGAGGTGGGGTCGTCGGACTTATGCTCGGGGTCCCCGGGAGGAGCGGCTGGCGTCCGAGAGCGTGCCACCAGAGCTCTGATGCTCCCTCGCTCCCTCACCCGGTTCCTTTGCTGTTCCGGACCCCGGCCCCGCTCCAGGCCAACCTTTCGGCTCTGGGCGAGTTTATGACTCTTCCCTGCAATGACATCCTTGATATAGAAATAAAAGTCTTTGCCAGTGTCAGCGACTACAACATCAACAAAAGGTCAGAAAACAAGTCCGCAGCAGCAACGACCGTATTAGTGATGCTTACAGTAGTGACGATAACACTGGTGAAAATAAAAGAGGATGGTTAGTAGGGTATTGAGGCTGACGCCCCAGTCTCCAGCTTGCCTTTATCGAGTGCGACAGCCGGGTATGGCAGCAGCTTTCAGAAGGCCAAAGACTGGCGAAAGTCAAGGTGTTGATAGTGCCTCTTACTGCAGCTTATTTTTTGTATGCGTTTGTAGATCCCAATATACCTTATGGCTTTGGGGATGTGGTATTTAAATTTTGTTAGAGGTGTTAGTCATTTTATTCCTTTAGAAATCAAATATATAGCTCTCTGAATTTTATCTAAGGATAAGCAGTTGATTGTGATTTCAGTGTCAAAAGAGGTACACACCATTGTATCAGAAAATTCATGGGTCTCTTATTGATAGCCTGTATATGATAAAAGGACCACGTTTCTGTGCCCCAGCACTGTCACTCTGAGTTTTTTCCTTGAGTGCATATGGTCGAAAAAATGTTTTATTCACATATTTGAAAATATTTTCTAAATTTCCTGTAATCCTTCCTTTACATGCAGAAAGTGGGTAAAAATTTACTTTTTTTGCTGACCAAATAGCTGTGTGCTCCTTCAAAACATTCACCACTGTGTAGCCGGAGTTAAGTTTCTAAAACTTGACCATGCCACTCCCTTGCTTAAAATTCTTCCGTTTTTTTTTTCCTTTAGCCTGAAAGCTAAAGTTCTGTTTAGTATGGCAAGCAAAGATATCTGTAGTCTAGCTTCTTACCTTTACAGCCTCTTTTTACACATACATACACCATATTCCAGCTACAGTGAACAGCTTGCAGATTGTGCTCTAAGAATTAGACCTTTGCACCGAATTCATATATGCTCTTCTCTCGCCAGAATTGCTCTCCATTTCCTGTCTTGCCATCCTTATCAGTATAACCCTTAACATGTCCTTTAGTCTCTTTCATGAGCCTTTCTGCCATGTCTAAACATCCTATTAAATGCCTCCTTTACGCTCCTGTGAGGGTGCTTTTTACCAGTAACATCTGGTGCATTTTACCAGACTATGTTAAAGTTGTGTATTCACTTGTCTTTCTCACTTCCTAGGCTGTAAGCTTTTTGAGAGGAGGACCTATGTATTCACTCTGATCTCCCCAGAGCCTTTTGTACAGTGCCTGGCCCAGAGGAAGTTTTCAATAAATATCTGTTTTATAGAACACTGAATAAGTGACCATGGCAGTAAATTTTTATGCATGAAACATTAGTAATAAGGGAAATAGTAGCATTTAAGTTTTATTTTTAAAGTTACCCATTATGTATTATTTATTAATAACATGCTATGTGCAAAACGTAGTGCTTTCTTAGAATATGTCAAGGAAATATAGCCCTTGTCATTAGTGAAGTTACTAAAAAATTAACTTACCATGCAAGATGACAAGATGAAGGCTAGCCTGTGGTTCATTACAAAGCAAGTGGTATAAAAAACTCTATAGTTTGAATAATCTAATAAGGCTTCATGTAGGAAGTGAACCAGTAAACTTAGTACTTTGTCCCTTACTCCAGTACTCTTAATCTACTATTCATTACTCTCATTTGGATGAGGAAACAGAGAGGTCAGGTAACTTGCTAAGTGCTTCAGGGCTATTAGTGCTTGGATTAGATGAGTCTGGCCTTTTTACTCTAGAATGGTATGAGATCTCATGAGAGATCTCATACTTGTCTCATGAGATCATGAGACAAGGAGAACAGCAGTTTAATTGGAGTTGAGGATTCTTATCTGGAGCAAGAGGAAAAAATGGAAAGAAACTGAGGCTAACTCATTGAAGGCATTGAGTTCCAAGTTGTAAAATTTGGAGTTTATCCTGATAGCAGTGGAGAGCCAATATAATTTTGGAAAGAGTGACGTGAAAATTAGGATTTTTGTGGGTTTTCCCCCACTATCAGAATGGCATCAGAAATGGCCCTCTGCCTTTTAGAAACCTTATTGATTGTCTTAACCTGAAACTATTTTTAAAAATATTTTTATTTATTCATTTGTTTGTGCTGGGTCTTGGTTGCGGCGTGCAGGATCTTTAGTTGCGGCATGCGAACTTTTAGTTGCAGCATGTGGGATCTAGTTCCCTGATCAGGGATCGAACCCAGGCCCCCAGCTCAGAGTCTTAGCCACCGGACCACCAGGGAAGTCCTTTAACCTGAAACTTAAAGTAACTGAAATAATTTAAAATGGGCTGAAGTTAGAAGATATTCAAGGATACCAGTATTAAGTAGAATTTATCTTTGGGACCAAAATATCCACACATAATTCTTTAAGACTACAGTATGTTTGTTGACATTAGCATTTATTAACATCCCAGGTGAAAATAGCATACTGTTCCTTTTCAACTGAATTGGTTTAGCAGAGCCTTAGGGTTATACATATACACTGGTCTTTATTTGGATATGAAAATTAGTTGCATGTTTTTCATGATGCTTTATTTTTACATTTTTAAAAATATTTTTTACTTTAACTTTTTATTGTGGAAATTTTCATACATACACAAAAGTAGAGAGAATATAATATAATGAGCCCCCATGTAGCCATAACTTGGCCTCGACAGTTATCAACATTTTGCTGTTTTTGTTAATGCCAGATTTCTAGAGCTCAGCCTATTTTCTGCCTTTCCTGAGTCTAAACATAATGCAACTAATGACATGTAAAACTTGAAGAAATGGAATGTATCATTTTATAACTATTGAGATGTTTCTAGATGCTGACTATAGGAAAATCATAGCTCTGCTTGAATTGGATCTGAAAGTTTTTCACATTTTTAATCTGTTAACTCCTAATTCCATTGCTATCTGTGGAGCTTCAGTGTTTGAATCAAATTGGCCAACTTTAATGGGGTAGAAATGTAGTATGGTTGTTATAGTGATTGTGGCCTTTACCATCTAAGAAAATGTTTTGTTAAAATTAAAATCCAAAAATTTAAGTACATGGCACTTAGCAATCAAATTATTATGTATGACCCGTTGAAAATTGTGAAGGGTTTTTCTTCCCCTAGAAACAATTACTTTGCTTTTGTAATAACAAAGATTTTCACAGCTTATTTTTCCAGGGTGTTTTTTTGTTTTGTTTTTTGTATTGTATTCCCATCATGAAAGTGTAGTAAAATTGATCAATTTTTTCCCCTTTACAGCTTCTTGGTTTTATGTCCTATTAAGAAAAGTCTTCTCCACATACAAGATTATAAAATTACACATCCATGAGTTTCTTCAATTATTCTGTTGTTTTATATTTTGATTTTAAAATAATGAAAAATTAGAGTGAGTAGTAAGGATCCAACTTTACCTTTTTCCAAATACTATTTATTGAATAACTCATACTTTCTCCCACTGATACTGGATACTACCTTAATCACAGGCTAATTTCCTATGTGTGCTTGAGCTCTCCTTTATGTTAAGGCTTTCTTACATGGTTTCCTGAACTTGAGTATTAAATCCCACTGTAATCACCACTCAGTCTCTTCTCTCATTGGTAACCCCACTGCCGTGACCTTTCTCTGCTAGTACCATACTGTGTACTAGCAGGGACCATGGAAGCTAGCTAGGATGTCAGATACTTTGAATGCCTGAGCGAGAAACTCAGAGGTTTTCCTGTAATAATAGTTGCCAAACCTTTCATATATAAAGCTTTAATTAGGTAAATTGTAATAGTTTCTTTTCAATAAAGCTATTTGGCAAACTGGTTTTCTGGTTCAAAATTGCCTAATCCATTAAAAAAAAAAAAGAGTTTGGTCTAGAGCTAAAATGCCTGGGTTTGAATTCCTGCTCAGCCATTACTAGCATTGTGTGCTTAGACAATTTACTAAAAATTGTTTCCACCACATAGATGATTGTGAGTCTTAAATAGGTAAATACATGCAAAATGTCTAGAATAATTGCTTGGGACATAATGAGCATTCAAGAAATGTTAGTTGTTATTACTATATCGCAGGAATGAAGAAGATTAGATACTTAAATGCTGATTTGTGTACTTTTGTTTGCTTTAAAGGGGACAATTCATCTCTTTAGAAAACCACAAAGATCTTTTTTTGGCAAGTTATTGCAGGAATTTAGACTTGTAGCAGCTGATCGAAGGGTAAGTTATTTTTATTCCTTAACCCTAATTTTAATTATTGCACAAACATAACATTGAAGAAAGGTAATTTTTAAGGCAAATAGAAATCACTCTTGATCCATCACATTGTTTTCATTTTTTTATGTTGGATAAGTAATTTTTAATGTAAAATTACAGAACTTTAGTATACAGTTGTTTTGCCTGGGAGGAAGCTAGGCTTTGGTTAGTTTTTATTCTAATTCTAAAGAATTTTGAAGAAAAATTGTTTGGTGATAGCCTTATGTTGTTAGTTTTTTTAGCAAATTAAGTGGGTGTGGTCTGAAGCCAAGTTTTCTCATTTTTAATGTAAGGCAGAAAAAATAAGTTATGCTTTGAGACTATAAATAGACAATTGATAGATACCCTTTTTGGTCACCAGTGTAGACCTTCTAATTACTATTCTGTTGTCATTGTTCTCATTATTGTCTTATACTGTAAGCTCCCTGAGGGCAGTGACTATGTCTCTTTTGCTCACTTTTTTTTTTAAACATCTTTATTGGAGTATAATTGTTTTACAATGTTGTGTTAGTTTCTGCCATATAACAAAGTTAATCAGCTATACATATACATATATCCCCTCATTTTTTAATAGAAGTACAAAATAAGCACCCAGCAAATACTTGATGAATTTTAAATAATCCTAGCTTCAATGTAACATAATAAGCAGTAGCAATGATATTGACCATGTATTACAATACTAAACTAAAGACTTCTTTTCTTTGTTTTTTACCACTATATCTCCTGTTTCTAAAACTTTGGGATATGGTCAAAACTCATTAATTCTAGTATTTGGAAATATTATCATCTCTGAATGTTAAACTCTGAGAGCCATGGGTAGGAAATTTATCTGCTTCTTTTGTATTTAGTCATTTAGGATGATCTCTTTTTAAAAAAAAAAAAATTATTTATTTATTTGGCTGCATCAGGTCTTAGTTGTGGCACACAGGATCTTTTATTGCGGTGTGCGGGCTTAGTTGCCCCGTGGCATGTGAGATCTTAGTTCCCCAACCAGGGCTCTAACTTGAGTCCCCTGCATTGGAAGGTGGATTCTTAACCACTGGACCACCAGGGAAGTCCTTAGGATGATCTCTTGAGAACAGATAGTTATAGCTTTATGATGTTGATGGAAAGCAACTATATTGCAGGAGGAAGCAGCAAGTTCTTTAACAGTACACTTCATTGAAGCATAGTATACCACAGAATAGGTAGTAGGAACAAAACGAGTATAGGAACACCTGAATTGTACAGATAACCTCTATCATAATTTAAATCTTAAGAGGTACACCTGGCTTATCTCTTCATTGCTTTTCCTGTCTTAGTTCTTGGTGATTTCATATTTCACGTGGAAGATCCTTACCTCTCAGTTCCTCACCACAAATAACCTTGTCCTGTATCCCTCCCAACCATCCACTCCTATGATCATACCATAAACCTTATCATTTGTAATAACTATATCCTCCCATTGTCTCAATTTAAGCATTTTACTCATCAGTCACTATCTCTTGTCTTTCCAGTTCACTCCTATTACTAGGGCCTCCAGTCCTTTACTCTGCTATATTTTCACTATTTTTCACCTCTCTTATCCTCATTTACTTACTTATCAATTTAGATTCTCTGGTCCATCATTTTCATTTTCTTGCATATGCCTTCAACTCCTTTGTGCCCCTCTTCTGTCTATCATACTTCCTTGGCAAATCCTTAACCTCATTAAGTCCACTTTTTTCCTACTCTGTACCTGCATGCAAGCAACAGAATGTAGCCTTAAAAAAAACACAAAACCATGCTGACTGGTCTCACTTTATTTTTATTTATTTTTATTTTTTAACATCTTTATTGGGGTATAATTGCTTTACAATGGTGTGTTAGTTTCTGCTTTATAACAAAGTGAATCAGTTATACATATACATATGTTCCCATATCTCTTCCCTCTTGCGTCTCCCTCCCTCCCACCCTCCCTATCCCACCCCTCCAGGCTGTCACAAAGCACCGAGCCAATATCCCTGTGCCATGCGGCTGCTTCCCACTAGCTATCTACCTTACTACGTTTGTTAGTGTGTATATGTCCATGACTCTCTCTCGCCCTGTCACAGCTCACCCTTCCCCCTCCCCATAACCTCAAGTCCGTTCTCTAGTAGGTCTGCGTCTTTATTCCTGCCTTACCCCTAGGTTCTTCATGACATTTTTTTTTCTTAAATTCCATATATATGTGTTAGCATACGGTATTTGTCTTTTTCTTTCTGACTTACTTCACTGTGTATGACAGACTCCAGGTCTATCCACCTCATTACAAATAACTCAATTTCGTTTCTTTTTATGGCTGAGTAATATTCCATTATATATATGTGTCACATCTTCTTTATCCATTCATCCGATGATGGGCACTTAGGTTGTTTCCATCTCCGGGCTATTGTAAATAGAGCTGCAATGAACATTTTGGTACGTATGCCATTAGTGTGGCCCATATTGTATGTTCCTAGTTTATTCAGTTTCCAGTTTCCTAAGTGACAGTTTCATACCATTTTCTTTCACTTCTGTGCTCAAACTCCCAAAAGCTTATTCATCCCCATTCTAACCTGTTCATCTTGCTTCCTGTTTCGCTGAGGGAAAAGAAGTAATCAGGAGAAAACTTCCGCATCCTGTCATTAGCATATCTACCAACACTCTGCCTTCCCTCCTATTTTGTGGATGAACTGTCTGGTCTGCTATATAAGGCCAATTCTTCCACTGTTGCCTACTCAAAGACAGCATTTCTATAATGGTTCCTTCTGTCTCTTGCATTGTTGTTCCTTCTTGAATCATTCTCCTTCTCCTTCTTGCGTCATAATTACATGCCATATATTCCACTCTCAGCTACTGCTTCCTTTCTCTGCTTCCTCTTATACAAAAGTACGTAGAAGAATTGTCTTTACTCTCTTTGTTCACTTTCTCTCCTGCCTGTTTCTATTAAACAAAACCAGTCTGATTCTAGTCCCCACTTATCCACAGAAACAGCTTTTACAAGGTAACTAATAACTTCTGTGTTGCCAAAAGCAATGGTCATCCTCATTTCCCATCTTATTTGACCTTCAGTGGCATTTGACGAAAAACCGTCTCTTCTACCTTAAAGCAGTTTTATTCATTTGAACTCTGAAATGCCACTCTTGATTTTCCTCCTACTTACTTGGCCATTATTTTTAGTCTCCTTTCTTACTTTCCTCTCATCTTTCTGACCTCTTTAAGTTTTGGAGTGTCCCAGGGCTTATGGAGCTCTGGCCTCTCTTGTTTACTTTCATTACCATATGCTGATGACCCTATATTTATATCTCAGCCCCTATCTTCTTCCCTACCTCCAATTCCTATATATAATGGACTTCTCAACATTTTCACCTGGATATCTAATAGGCATCTCAAATTTAGTATGATCAAACCTGAACTTTGATTTTCTATCACTCCTTCACTACATGGCTCAGGCCAGAAACCTTGGAGTCACTTTTACCAATCTCTCCCTCACTCCTCACATCTGCTTTATAAGTAATTCTTGCCGGCTCTATCTTCAGTATAATACACAGAATCTGACTCTTTTTTTTTTTTTTTTTTTGCGATACGCGGGCCTCTCACTGTTGTGGCCTCTCCCGTTGCGGAGTACAGGCTACAGACACGCAGGCTCAGCAGCCATGGCTCACGGGCCCAGCCGTTCCGCGGCATGTGGGATCTTCCCGGACCGGGGCACGAACCCGTGTCCCCTGCATCGGCAGGTGGACTCTCAACCACTGCGCCACCAGGGAAGCCCAGAATCTGACTCTTAACACCTTCCTACCACATTCAAAGCCACCATCATTTCCCACATGGTTTATTGCAATCACATTCTAAATGGTCTTCCTACTTTCATCCTTGCCCCTATGCAGTATATTCTACATAGGGTAGCTGAATGAGCTTTTTAAAATGAAGCCTAAGTCACTTTCCATCTCATCTGGAATACATCCCAATTCTTTTCCTGGCATACATGACACTACTTGATGTAGCCCTAGACTCCCTCTCAGCTCTCTTGTCTAACTGTCCTCAGCCATTCTTCTATCTCAAAGAATTTGCACTGTGGTTCCCATTTTCTCTCCCAGATATCTGCATGCTTAGCACCTTTGCCTCTTTCTGATTTCTGGTCACATGTCGCCTTACCAAAGGAGTCTTTTCTGACCACCCTATCTAGAAGAGCAGCTCTTCCATGTCTTCCATTTACTGTGTTCTTACTGTATTTTTTCTTTTAGCACTTATCACCACCTGACCTTATATATTTGCTTATTGTCTGTCACCTCACCTGGATTATAAGGTCCGTGTTTTGTTCACTGCTGTATCTCCAGTGCCTAGAATAGTGTCTGTTACAAAATAGATACTCAAATGTTTGTTGATTAATAGCTTGATTCAGCATTAGAACTGCATGCATTAAATGCTTTATCCTCCTTTTCTGACTGCTGTTGAATCCCTGTCCTGACTAGACCCCATATCCAGTCATTTCATTAATGTTCTCACTAGTATTAGAGTCCCTTGTCTTGTTAACCTATCATATCAGTTCTCAGGTCTCTAACATCCCTATCTCACTTGGTTTTCTGGTTTTGCTCGTGGGTGTAGAGGAAGTTCCACAATGGTGTCTACCATAAATTCATGTTGGTAATTATTGTTCTTCTTTTTGATGATTCAATAGTATATTCACCATAACATCTATTCTGCAGATCCTCTTCTAGATTTAAGTTTCCAGTGCTACTTTATCATATCCCCTAATTTTAGAAAATGGCCTTGCGTCTTCCTTTCAAGACTGTTACCTCTGTGTTACATCACTGTCATTTCTTTCTGCCTTACAAGTTCTCTTTCTCTTCCGTTACCTTCTTACCCTTCTCACTTTCTCACGGGTGGTGTTCTTCCTTTCTAGACCTACACCTTTCATCTGTATTGTAAAACCATTCTATCCCATACCATACTTGACCTTAGCAATTACATGTTTAATTTTAACACCTCAAAATAACTACCTTTTCACTAATTTATTTCATCTCTACTTTCAAACAAGCATAGGTCTCCCTTTATAGGGAGAGGAGCAGAACAAAAATAAAAAACACTTCACTTGATCTCTTCTTCCTTTATTTTTAGAATGCTCTTCCTCCTCCCTCTAAATCCTAGCTATTTCAAGGTGTATCTCAGATCCTCCCTTTTCTGTGAACTTCTAAACTGTGGTAATCTTCCCCTCTTTTGCAGTCCTATTTCATACAATTTACTTGGTAAATAACCAAGTACTGCTCTTTTTTGGTGGGTGGGTGGGCAGGGTAACTTTATTTTGATGTACCATCAAACTTACAGAAATGTTATGAGTATAAGGAACTCCCTTATACCATTTATTCAGATTCATCAATTGCTTTACATTTTGCCCCATTTGTTTTTATCATTGTCTCTACATGTTTATGGAGACAAAATTATATTCAAATGTCAGTATATTTTCTCAACTATTTGAGAGTTTGTGTGTCAGAATTTATTTTCTCTAGAATAATTCCCCTTCTAGAATTATTCGTTTAGGCTTATATATTATAATAGTAACTTGTTTGATGATAATTTTGGTAGTTTTAGAAAATGTGGCACTTCAACTTTTTGAAACAAGTTGTGCTTATTCCTTTGAATATTAGAGTATGAATCACAGCAACTTGAATGGACCCAGAGAAGTTTGTCAGCATTGTACAAATAAGAATGATTTTCTTTTTCACAGTCCTGGAAGATACTGCTCTTTGGTGCAATAAACTTAACATGTACTGGCTTCCTGCTAATGTGGTGCAGTTCCACTAATAGTATAGGTATGTCACTATTCTTATTTTTAGGAGTTAATTATTTCACTTTTATTGTTCTCATAATAAATAAAGGTATGTCGTCCTTTACATAGAATATATTATTCTGAACTATAACTCAAAAGATTTAAATGAGAAAATCTATTCCAAAAGTACTTTGTAAACTATAAAATTTGGTTCAGTTGTTAGGCATTATCTAAAATGAGCTTTTTTTAAAAAAAAATTTAAATCTATTTGAAAAACTAAGATTTCTTTTTATTTTTTAATTGAGGTATTGATTTACATTATTATATTAGTTTCAGGTATACAGCATAGTGATTCAGTATTTTTATAGATTATACTCCACTAAAAATTATTGCAAAATAATGGCTATAATTCCCTGTGCTGTACAATTGATCCTTGTTGCTTATCTATTTTATACATAGTGGTTTGTATATCTTAATCTCTTACCCTTATCTTGCCCCTTTCCCACTGGTAACCACTAGTTTGTTTTCTATACCTGTGAGTCTGTTTTATAAATAGTGCTGCTGTGAACATTGGGGTGCATGTATCTTTTTTGTGAGATTTCCTTTTAATGTGAGAGATTAGTTCTTCAATTTATGTAGTGTATAAATAAAATTTTATGATTTATTGAGTTTTCCTTGAAAAGGGAAATCTAATATTTTTCTTGTGTCATGACTCTTATGTTTTTATTTACCATTATTTTCATCCTGCTATTTTAAAAATACATTTAAAATAGTACTCCGATGACAGAAGGAGGCAAAAAATTGATCTCAGGGCTTTTGAGCATATACTGCTTCATTTTTTCCTGATGGAGAAATCAGGTTCTAAAGTAAGCTTTTGTATTAACCAACTTTGGCTACATGTATTAGTCAAATTTACTAGATAATTGCCAACATATGAGATTAATCAGTGACTCATGTTTTCCGGTGATGGATGTCCCTGTTATGAACAGTTTTGGTGATTTGCTGTATTTCCTAACAATGGATTCAGTAACATTTTAATCAGTCTTTTTGTTGTTTTGCAGCTTTAACTGCCTATACTTACCTGACCATTTTTGATCTTTTTAGGTAAGTTTTAAAAACGCTCCTTAATGTTTTTACTTCCTTCCTTCCTTCCTTACCTATTTACTTATTTATTTATGGCTGTGTTGGGTCTTCATTGCTATGCGCGGGCTTTCTCTAGTTGTGTCAAGTGGGAGCTACTCTTCATTGCGGTGCGCGGGCTTCTCACTGCGGTGGCTTCTCTTGTTGCAGAGCACCGGCTCTAGGCGTGAGGGCTTCAGTAGTTGTGGCATGCGGGCTTAGTTGCTCCATGGTTTGTGGGATCCTCACAGACCAGGGATCGAACCTGTGTCCCCTGCATTGGCAGGCAGATTCTTAACCATTGTGCCACCAGGGAAGTCCCCTCCTTAGTGTTGTGTTGTTGTTGTTTTTTAATTAATTTATTTATTTATTTTTAGCTGCACTGGGTCTTCGTTGCTGTGTGTGGTCTTTCTCTAGTTGCGGCAAGCAGGGGCTATTCTTTGTTGTAGTGTGTGGGCTCTCATTGCAGTGGCTTTTCTTGTTGCAGAGCACAGGCTCTAGGCGCACAGGCTTCAGTAGTTGTGGAATGCAGGCTCACTAGTTGTAGCTTGCGGGCTCTAGTGGGCTTTAGAGCGCAGGCTCAGTAGTTGTGGCACATGGGCATAGTTGCTCCGTGGCATGTGGGATCTTCCTGGACCAGGGCTCAAACCCGTGTCCCCTGCATTGGCAGGCGGATTCTTAACCACTGTGGTACCAGCGAAGACCCTTCTTAATGTTTTGAAGCTAATAAGGAATTTGTTATCAACTATATATACTTCATTTGAAAAACAGAAAAGAGACCTCCAGAATGCTTCCCCAGTGTTTTACTCCTGACCTTGATTGGTGGTTAAATGGGTGTTTTTTTTCTATTTGTTAAAATGTACATATGTGCTTTATGCACATTTCTGTGTAAATGTCCTATTTTGAATAAAACAATAAAATTAAACTAAAAAAAAGGTTTGTTGCACTGAATTTATGAAGTTTTCTTTACTTAAAGGAAAGTTATCTGTGAAATAAGTAAAATTATCAACATGGACCATATGTACAAATAATAATTAGAAGATATGCTGGAAGAAAATACCCCATTTATATAGCAACAGAAAAGATAATACCCAGACTTTAGGTCAGGTGCCTACCTGTAGATGAGTCAGCTGTGACCAGGGAGCAGGAACACATAAGAACATACTAGTTCCCACTGTAACCATGTGGGTGTGAAAAGAAATGAGGGATGTTAATAACTGCAAAGTATATATGTAATTGTGAGCTAGAGAGACGACCTATTGGCTCCTGCTTTGGGGACCTTTCATATTTCCAAATAAAGGTTGCAGAATGCTTAGACCGTATGTCTCCAAGATCCGTGCCATAGAAGTATGTTATAGGGATGTCTTTTTCATCAGTCACATAACTAAATCTTCTTGATTGGTCTAAAACAGATAGTTATTACCTGAATTTCACACTGTAGTAAGTTGTTTTAGAGTGAATCTCCACTAAGAAAGTAACCATAACTTTATCCCATCCAGAATGTTGTCAAGGTGTTATTAATATTTAGTTTAACTTTTAACAGAGATTAAATAAAGTTTATTAAAGTTAAAATGTATTGTATATGCCTAGAATCAAGTAAATTGCACTTATTATTGCTGTGTCATTTTTTGCAGGCTCAGTTATGGAAACCATTTAGGGCGGATAACTTTCTGAGTAGAGAAACTGTGGGTTTAGGTTCTATTAGTTCTATTATTAGTGTCTTAATGGTATATCATAACTTCTTTCAGTTTCTCCCCATGTTAAAACTCACATTAGGGTGCTTATTGTGATTAGATTATAAATTATTAGAATAACTTGTTGTTAGTTTAGTCTGCAAACACTATTAACTTTTAGCAATTTAGTTATTCTGAAAGCTAAATTTCTTTCTGTAAGTCCTCTAGTTCTAGTTCTAATGCTAAACTTATTTTCCTTTTTACTTAGTTTAATGACATGTTTAATAAGTTACTGGGTAATGATGAGGAAACCTAGCCCTGCCTATTCATTTGGGTAAGTTCAAATTATTTTATTTTCTGCTAACTTATCGCTATTAAAGTAGTAGTTATACCAGGCAGTAAAGAGCTAGCTAGAGTACTTGTAGAAAATAAATGCTGCCTGTTTAGTGGAATAGTGATCAGATAGTGAAAGTAGATAAAAAAACATCTTCCAAGAGGATTCTAGATAAGGAACATGAATGTTTAAATTTAAATCATATTAAAGTAAAATGTTCACATTGGTTTTTTTCTATTTTATAAAACAAATCTTACATAAATTGTTCATTTTAAGTTCTTTAATATTTTGGTAATCTCTTATTCCAGTTAGAGAAAGTACAAAGGATTTTCATGTATGTATCTTCTAGATGTTAAAGTAAGTGGGATATAGTTTAACATTAATGCAGCGGTAGAGATGTATTTTTATCTTAAGACTGTATTTGTGACAGCAATGAACTGACAAAGATTTTGAGATTTCTGTTTCTATAGTTTAGAAATTACTGAAAGTTAGAAAATAATCTTTTATATCAGAGGATTTTTTAAAATATGTTAGAAAAAATGAGTTCTTTTCAGATTCAAGGAAACAACTTGAAAGAAGAATTTAACTTTGGTGAAGAAACTCTTGGACAAAACTTACCTTTCTTCTCCACCATACCATTTATTGGGATTATATTCTTTTGAACAAAATCAGGTTTTACTTAAATAATGGGACAAAGTAAACATGAAATTTTAGTGCAAAATGAAGATATTTATAAGTGTCACTGAAATTTGATAGAGTTGGATTGATATGATAATCATTTGTAAAGGGTTTTGGTTGTAAGTGACAGAAATCCATCTCAAACTAGTTTGGGGGAAAAATGTTAATTTACATAACCAAAGTGTGGGAAGACTGAGGTAAACTGGTATAGGGACTAGAACACTCAGGACATTGTCTTTCTCTTACCTCAAAAGGCCTGCTTTTCTCTGCATGTCAGTTTCAGTTTCTCAGACCACTTTTCTCCACTATCCTGGAATGATAACTTGTAGCAAAACTTTGAACCTTCTCACCTTCATCCTTGAGACGAAAGGATTCCCCAGCTCTAGAAAATAGTGAGAAAGAACTATTGGTTGGTCCATCTTGGTATAGATGTTAGTCTTTAGATCAGCTCCTGTGGCCAGGAGACAAGGTCACATAAGGACAAGACAGCTCCCATTTTGGCCTAGTTGCTTAGAGTGAATAGGAAAAGAGGGAGCAATCAAATATAATTGCAGTCAGTCACATATCTTGAAGTATCATCTATATTTAATAATTCCAAAATTCAGTTCTCCAGCACTGAGATTTATCTCATGTCATGTTACCTTCGTGCCAGGTTCACATGGATGTCTAATTCATGTCTTAAATTCAAGCTAGGATTCTTGTTTTCTTCCCCCCAAATCTGTTCCTCTGCAGTTTTTCACATCTTAGCAAATACACCACCACTCAGTTGCTCAAGTAAAATCATTGATTATTCTCTCATCACCCACATTTATCCATGAGCAGGTTATGTCAAGATAACTTACGAACACATCCAGAATCTGTCCTTGCCCCCGTTTCTATCTCCACTACTACCATCCTAACCAAACTACCTTCATTTCTTGCCTTAACCAATGTCTTGCATCCTAACTGGTCCCCATGGTTCTGCTTTTACCCCCCTTCAGTCCATTCTCCATATAGAAACCAGTGTTTTTTTGGGATTTTTCTTCAGTGTTTTTTTTCTTTTTAAGCCTAAATCATGGTATCATTCTACTTCTTAAAACCATCCAGTTGTTTCCTGTCATACTTAGAATAAAATCCTGCCCCCTTTCCTCGTTTACAAAGACCTTATATGATTTAGATCCAGCCTACTTCTTTTCAAGTTACCACTCTCATGCCGTCTATACCACACTGTCTTTCTTTCCGTAGTTTGAACACATCTTATTCCTGCTTTAGGGTCTTTATACAAACTATTCTATCTCCTGGAAATGCTCTTCACTTGATTCTTACGAGATTAGCCCCATTTTGTTATTCCAATCTTAATGTCACTAAATGCTAATGTCATTAAGTGACTGGGCCCAATCTAAAATAGATTCTAAAATAGATCACCTAGTTAGCTTCTTGTCACATCAGACTGCTATAATTCTCTGTATAGAACTTATAAATTAATTTTTCAAAATTTATTTATTTAATTTATTTTTGGCCGTGTTGGGTCTTCGTTGCTGTGCGCGGGTCTTCTTTAGTTGCGGTGAGTGGGAGCTACTCTTCGTTGCGGTGCGTTGGCTTCTCTTGTCGTGGAGCACGTGCTCTAGGCACACGGGCTTCAGTAGTTGTGGCCTTGCGGGCTCTAGAGCACAGGCTCAGTAGTTGTGGAGTACGGGCTTAGTTGCTCTGCAGCATGTGGGATCTTCCTGCACCAGGGCTCAAAACTGTGTCCCCTGCATTGGCAGGCGGATTCTTAACCACTGTGCCACCAGGGAAGCGCAATTAATTGTTTTGTTTTTTTTTGTCTTCCCCTTTAAAATATAAATTTCTTGGTAGCAGGGACTGTAGCTTGTTCTGTCTTATATCCTTGTGCAGTTTGATGAATTTTAACAAATAAATATACTTGTATAACTACTATCTAGATAATGATATAAAGCATTACAAGTTCTCCCAAAGCCTCCTTTAATGACTTAATGTTAAGTCAGAGTCAAACCCTGAGAAAAGTAACCAGTATTCTGATTGCTGTCATTGCAGATTCTTGTTGCCTGTTTTTGAAGTCATATAAATGGGATACAATATATATATCATCATATAGCAGTAGTTCATTCTTGTTCATTGCTCTAATATTCCATTATGTGAATATATCAAAATTTGTTTATATGTTCAGCTATTGAAAGGAATTTAGTTTTTTTTTTTTTTTTAATTTTTTTTTTGCAGCACGCGGGCCTCTCACTGTTGTGGCCTCTCCCGTTGCGGAGCACAGGCTCCGGACGCTCAGGCCCAGCGGCCATGGCTCATGGGCCCAGCCGCTCCGCGGCATGTGGGATCTTCCCGGACCGGGGCACGAACCCGTGTCCCCTGCATCAGCAGGCGGACTCCCAACCACTGCGCCACCAGGGAAGCCCTAGTTAATTTTTAGCTTTTAGGTATTATAAATAAAACTACTTATGAACATTCTTGTACATTTCTTTTGGTATACATGTGTGCTCATTTACGTTGGGCATATGTCTTTGAAATTACTCAGTCATAGGATTTGCATATATTCATCATTAGAAGATAGGATAATACCAAACAGTTTTCCAGAGTGGTTTTACCAATTTAACATTTCCACTGACAGTATATGAGAGTTCTAGTTGCTTCATGTCCTTACCAACTGTTGGTATTGCCTTTTTTTTTTAAAGCCATTCTAGGTGTGCAGTGGCATCTCATTGAGGCTTAAGTTATTTTCCTGATGAGTATTTGAGCACTTTTTCTTATGTTTATTAACCATTCAGATTACCCCTTTTGTGAAATGCTTGCTGAAGTGTTTTATCCATTTTTAGATTGGGTTGTCTGTTTTTTCTTATTGATCTATATAGGAGTTCTTTATACATAAATATATTCTCTCACTCCTATTTCTCTTTCATTCTCTTAAAGTTATCTTCTGATGAATGAAAAGTTTTTAATTTCAATGATAAATTCAATTTATCAGTCTTTTCCTTTATGGTTAATACTTTTTGTGTACTTGTCAAGAAATCTTGGCCAGAATAAAGATATTCTACCCTGTTATTAGTTAGAAGTTTTACCATTTGACCTTTCACATTTAGGCTTACAATCAAACTAGAATTGATTTTGGGTTTTTTTTAGGACTTTTTTTTTTTTTTTTTTTTTGCGGTACGCGGGCCTCTCACTGTTGTGGCCTCTCCCATTGCGGAGCACAGGCTCTGGACTCGCAGGCTCAGCAGCCATGGCTCACGGGCCCAGCCGCTCTGCGGCACTTGGGATCTTCCCGGACCGGGACACGAACCTGTGTCCCCTGCATCAGCAGGTGGACTCTCAACCACTGCGCCACCAGGGAAGCCCTAGGATTTTTTTTTATTAATTCATTTTATTTATTTTTGGCTGTGTTGGGTCTTTGTCGCTGCGCACGGGCTTTCTCTAGTTGCAGCAAGCGGGGGCTACTCTTCGTTGCAGTGCACAGGCTTCTCATTGCGGTGGCTTCTCCTGTTGCGGGGCACAGGCTCCAGGCACGCAGGCTTCAGTAGTTGTGGTGAAAGGGCTCAGTAGTTGTGGCTCACGGGCTCTAGAGCGCAGGCTCAGTAGTTATGGTGTTCGGGCTTGGTTGTCCCGCGGTATGCGGGATCTTCCCGGACCAGGGCTCAAACCTGTGTCTCCTGCATTGGCAGGCGGATTCTTAACCACTGCACCACCAGGGAAGACCTGGAATTGATTTTTGTGTATGGGTTGAGGTAAAGGTCAAGGCACATTTGCTTCTATATAACCATTCAGTTTGATAAAACACTGTTTATTGAAAAAAATTATTCTTTATTGCTTTTATGTGCTGCTTTTTTATTAATCAAGTGACTGTGTATGTGTTTGTTTCTGGATTCTCTTTTCTATTTGGTATATTTGTCTATCCTTGAATTAGTTCCATAGTGTGTCAATTACTGTTGTTTTGAAATCTTGGTTATCTGGTAGTGTAAATCTTCCAGCTTTGTTCTTTTTCAGATTGTCTTTGCTTTCCTACACCATTTGCATTTCAATACACACTTTAGTATCAACTTATCAATTACCACAAATAATGTTGCTACATTTACATACCGTTTTTTTCATACTCTCCTATAACCCACTTTTTTTCATTTCCATCCTTCCAAGTCAGTAAATACATTTCTTTTATATTTGTAATAATGTGTAATGGTATGTTGTTGATTCCAACATTTTTCTATTATAAATAGCAATGTGATGAATGTCCTTTATTATTTTATTATCTCCTGAATATTCTGAATTCTGTACCACCTAGAATTAAATCAACTCATTTGAGGGAAAAAACAACTAATGTGATGAACATCGTTAATTATTTTATTATCGTTTCTGAAGATAATTATTTCCTTGAGAAATTTTAAGCATATATACTTACAGGTGTTGAATGCCATTAAACTATGTGCAGTGGGAGAAACTAAGATAAATAAGACAACAGCCCTTGGCCTCCAGCTGATAGCTTAGGGATTATAAGACATATTCAGTTAACTGTAATTGTGTGTAGATAGGAGAGGCAGTGTAGTAGTGGTTAAAATCATGAACTCTAGAGCCAGAGTGTCTGAGTTTGAAAACCTGACTCCTTCACTTGCAAGCCGTATGACTCTAAACAGTTACTTTTCCTCTTTGGGGTTCAGGTTCCTTATCTCTTTTTTTAAAAAAAAAAGTGGATAAACTAACCCTTATAAGGATTTAGATGAGGTAATATGTTAAACACTTCGACCAGTGTCTGACACAAGATGGGTCAATTAAGTGCTGTTATTATAATAATGGTTATTTCTAGAAAATAAAAGCCCTAAGGAGTATATGTTGTACAAATAGGCACTCTTTTTAAAATCTGTGATGTTCATTGTTTATTGTCATTCTAGAAATTGTAGTCCTTTTTAACAGCGTTTGGATTATAGTAGGCACATGTATAGTGAGTGAATGAATGTGTTCTCGAGATACTAGTTTGTGAATTGAAAGAATTAGGCTGATTTGATTAATTTTCCAATTTCAGATTTGAAAGATTAGAAGTCCTGGCTGTATTTGCGTCCACAGTCTTGGCACAATTGGGAGCTCTCTTTATATTAAAAGAAAGGTACATTTGTATACAATGTTACTGTCACTGCAAATTCTACCTATGCCACCTTTGGGAATATGAAAGAATCCAGTGAGACACGTCGGGTTGGAAGGGTACAAATAAAATGAGCAGTGCTGGAGTTTTGATAGTACAATTTCTTCATGTTTCAGACTTTTCTCCCTTCCTTTCACCCTTCTTTTATTACCTTCTTTGATGCTACTAAATTTAGTCATAGGTGTGAATGAAAGGAAAGGATTCACACAGACATGTTTTAATGCTTAGTACAAACCCATTGAAACAGGTTTGGTAGAGAAAGATTGAATTACACCTTGAGGATAATTTGTGGGTCTGCTTGTCTCATCACTACTAATAATCAGCAGTTGGTTATCATATTTAAAAAGTTTTGTGAATTTATTAATTATATATTTAATAAAGTCTTATAATTTTATAATTTGTAGGACTTATTTAATACATTATTTCCTTCTTTTAGTGCAGAACGCTTTTTGGAGCAGCCTGAGATACACACGTGAGATTCTGCTTTTGACATAACATATAATTTACTATGGCGTTTGATTCCCAGTTATTAATTGATATGTTATTAAATAGTGGTTACTTTGGCCAATATCAGAGTTCAGAGTGTGGTAATATATATTTCATTGATATTTCACAAGCAAAATCCCCAAATCCCAAGACTCCCTCTTTTCACCCTTAACTGTTCCCAAGCCCTTAAATTTTTATACTGAACAGGAAGGCCTTTCTGCCCTGATTTTGGGTCCCTCGGTATTTCTAGGCCCAGGTCAATATCCTAAGCCAGCCCCATCTGGTCTTCTGTAATTTAAGATTGGATCCTCCAAGTCTTTTAGTAGCAGCTGTAGAAAAGATGGAATTGCTATTATTTACAACATAGTGGCCAACTATGTGGACTTTACCTATTCTGATCAGTTTAATTCAGGACAGTCTGACCTGGCCAGTGGACTGTAAACCAAATACCATTAGCATTTCTAAAAATTTATAACAGCAATTACCTGTAAGAAGATACTGTTAATGCTAAGAGTCTTTTTTTTTTTTTTTTTTTTGTCCTGTGTAAGGTGGAGCAACAGTAGACAGGACATTGGTCATGGGACTAGAACCAAGTTCAGATTCTGGCTCTGCAAATACTAAACCATTGAAGCAGACCAGTCTGCCTTCCCATCTCTTAGTCTCTCTACATGCTGAAATTACGTATTGACATTACCAAGAAAAAAATAATCATGAGTGTTGTTTTTTTCAGGGGAAGATTATTAGTTGGTACTTTTGTGGCTCTTTCTTTCAACCTGTTCACAATGCTTTCTATTCGGAATAAACCTTTTGCTTATGTCTCTGAAGGTATGTTTTTATTTACCATTAATAAAAAACCAATTAACCTCTCATAAAAACAGGTCTTTTGTTTGTTTCGTTAATTCATAGATCAATGAGAAAGTATATCCTGAAGAGAAGAGAGGACTACCCCAAAGGTTCTAAAGTCTTTCTCTGAGCAAAAAATTATGAAACGGAATCTAATTATTACAAGCTTTAAAATAACATATTACTTAAAAACAGGCAAAACTGACTCATGTATTAAATTACATGCAGTAAAAAATTACATTTACCAAATAACATGAATGAGATTTTACATGTATAACCTACCTAAGAAAAGTTTATTGCAAGCATTTTTTTTTTTTTATTGCAAGCATTTTAGAAGCATCAGTGTACATAGACTAGTTGCTATGCTCATTGCAAATAATTGTATTTTGTTAATTAGATAAGTTCCCAGGAACTTCTCTTGGGCAATGGTGGGTAGGCATATATTTGAAAGTAGCAAAACTTTATTCCTTTTGATATATTCTTTTATTTTCAAGTCTTTAAAAATTCAGATAGACTTTTCATTCCAGTGGTCTAAATTATTGGCATTTTTCAATAATTTCAGTGTTTTGGAATCCCACTAACCTACAAAGGGTTAACCACTGATGGATGGAGAAGTGAGGTAAAAACAAAAGTGGGCTGTGTACACAGACCCACACACCTGTACTTTGAAGCAAAAATAGGTGAGGGTCTTTTTAGATCTCACTGACTTGAATACCAAGATAACCAAGGGAAGAAAGCTTTCTGAAATACCCATTCAGGTTTAAACAACTTCCTGAGTGTTACAAAGTATGAGTTGTATTTGTATGAATTAGAGTTTAAGAATTACTGCATGAACTAGAAAATTAAATAATGATATTTGTGATGACCAGAATTTTTTAGAAAAAACTTTATTAGAATAGTATAATGCTCATTCTAGAAATTCTAAGAAGGTACAGAGGTTTAGAAACTGTATCTCTCTGTGAAGATCAGAAAGATACAAGAAGGAAACAGTATTGATAATCTCATGACCCAGAGATAACATCTGTTAACATTTCTATTTTGTTCCTTTAATTTTTTTTCTATGCACATGTATATATTTTTTTACATATTTAGAATTGTATCAATTAACAATTTTATGTTTAGCTTTTTTCAGTTAACATTATGTCTTGAGTATTGCCTGTCATTAAATACTCTTTGAAAAAATGATTTTTGAAGGCTTGCATAATATTTTGTCATGAATATTTTTAAACAGTCTATTGTTATATAGAATAATATATAAATAACCTTTTACAAATAATGCTGTAACCACCCTTTTTTGTTTGTTTTTTTGTTTGCGGTACGCGGGCCTCTCACTGTTGCGGCCTCTCCCGTTGCGGAGCACAGGCTCTGGACGCGCAGGCTCAGCAGCCATGGCTCACGAGCCTAGCCGCTCCGCGGCATGTGGGATCTTCCCGGACCGGGGCACGAACCCGTGTCCCCTGCATCGGCAGGCGGACTCTCAACCACTGTGCCACCAGGGCAGCGCCACCAGGGCAGCCCCACCCTTTTTTGTACCAAATTTCTTGTATGCATTTCCACTTCTTCTTCCCAAAGAAGAAATTATAAATGGGTTAAAAACACACTATTTTGGGCTTCCCTGGTGGCGCAGTGGTTGAGAGTCCGCCTGCCGATGCAGGGCACACGGGTTCGTGCCCTGGTCCGGCAAGATCCCACATGCCGCGGAGCGGCTAGGCCCGTGAGCCATGGCCGCTGAGCCTGCGCGTCCAGAGCCTGTGCTCTGCAACGGGAGAGGCCACAACAGTGAGAGGCCCGCGTACAGAAAAAAAAAAAACAAACTATTTTTTTGTCTTTGATGTATATTGCCAAATTTATTTCTAGAAAGATCATCTAGTTTGTATTTTTATTAGCTGGAAATGAAAGTTCACAGAAGCATCAAAATTTATTATACAACATTAGTTGAAATTTAAGTGGAAAATAATATTGAGCACTTTCTATCTGCCAGGCACTGTGATAAACGCTTTACGTAGAACCCGTTTAATTCTTCCTATAACGATAGGTAAATCATTTTATTGATATTATCCCCATTTTACACTGAGGCCCTGAGAGATTGTCACTTGTCTCAGGCTACACATCTAGTTAAGGGCAGAGCTAGGGTTGAAGCCAGGTATTCTGGCATCAGAGTCTGCTCTTAAACTGCTGTACCAGGCTACTTTTTATATGGCTTGCCGATCTTTTTTACATCATGGTACACATTAAAAAATGAGAATTTCTGTAGCACCATGGGATAAATGTAAGAGGATGCTTGAGCCTGAAGGCTACTTGTCCAGGGACAGTAACTGACAGGCGTCTGCATGTAGCCAGATTCCCACCTGGCCTTTCTGAGAGCTGAGCGAGTTAGTAATCCGTGTACTTGCAACCCATTCTGAGCACACTGGTTAGGAAGCTTCGCTTTACACTATAATAAGCCTTTAAAACTTCAAATTAATAGTAGCAATGAAATACGTTAAGTTCACTTATTCCTTCAGGTCAGCTGTATATTGCAGTTGAAACTGCTTTTCATTTAGTATCCTAAAGGCATAAAAGAGAAAAAAGTTCTAGATTTGAGGAATAACGTGATCTTTTGTAATGTTATACAGTCACGACCGAACTTATTTTTTAAATTTAAGAATCAAGTATTTCTGGTAATGGTTTATTCTATACACATAATTTAAATATTTTCTTTTTAAAGCTGCTAGTACGAGTTGGCTTCAGGAGCATGTTGCAGATCTTAGTCGAAGGTAAGATGTTATGGGATTTCATGATATACATAACGTTAAAGGAATGCCCAAGAAATGCATCTGTCTCAGCATTATTATTGCTGAGGTTACTACGTGAATCTCACAGATCAGATTCTTATTCTCCCTTTACTTTTTCTTACTTTTTAATTGGTGATAGATAAGAGACCTTTACGAGTGAGAGTTTTGTTCCCAAATTCTCTTTGCTTTCTTTAAAAGATATACTAAACTACAAGTCATCTTTTATATGACTTTCATCAGTATTACGTAAGTTCTACTAATGAATACTCTTTTTATTTGTTTTTTCATAGCTTGTGTGGAATTATTCCAGGACTTAGCAGTATCTTCCTTCCCCGAATGAATCCATTTGTTTTGATTGATCTTGCTGGAGCATTTGCTCTTTGTATTACTTATATGCTAATTGAAATTAAGTAAGTATTTTTTATTGCTATCAAGTGTGTTTCGATTCCTGGGGCATCAGTAGGATGGCTGGGGATTAAGCTTATAGCATGTTTGCTTGTGACCTGTGCAACTTTGGTCAAGTCTTGTCCTCAAGTGTCTTCATCTGAAAAATTATGGGGGTTGGATTCAATAAGAAATTTTCACCACAGTCTATAATGCAGGCTGGAAAACTGTTTAAATTCCTTACTGCTGACCTGATGAGTGAGACTGAGAAGCGGGTAAAAGAGAGATGAATCACAGCGACTGTTGCTGAGTGAGGGAAGACAGGAAGTAGATGTGAATCAACTTTAAAAAAAGCAAGTCTATTAGGAAAGAGACTTTAGCAGCCTTAAGCTTAATTTTATGACGTGATTCGGTGACTCCCTGCCGTTTTGCATACTCTCCTAGCATATCACATACAATTATGTTTTTATTTACTACCTCTACGTGATTCCTACATTTTTATTTCTAGCCCAGATCTCTACTGAATTCCGAAAAACATATCTTCTGTTCATGTCCACCTCAACTGAACCTATTTCCCCCCATCCCCAAAACTGCTTTTTCTTGTACTTTGTGTCTCAGTGAATGCTACTACAGTCTATTCCTTTGCATTCTGCTTTTAAATTGTGTTAAAACATACATAAAATAAAATTTACCATTTTAACCATTTCCAAGCATACAGTTCAGTACTTGCACAGGCATTTAGTGCATTCACTTTGTTGTGCAATCATCACCACGATCCACCTCCAGAACTTTTTCATCTTCCCTAACTGAAACTGTACCCATTAAATAATTACTACCCATTCTACCTCCCCCCAGCCCCTGGCAACCACTATCCTACTTTCTGTCTCTGTGAATCTGACTACTCTAAGTACTTCATATGAATGAAATTATACATATTTGTCCTTTTATTTCACTTAGCATAATGCCCTCAAGGTCCATCCATGTCACAAATGGCAGGATTTCCTTCTTATGGCTGACTAATATTCATTGTGTATATATTTATGTATGTATATGCCACATTTTCTTTATCCATTTATCTGTCAACAGAAACATAAGTTGTTTCCATGTCTTGGCTGTTGTAAACAATAGTCTTGTCACCTACTCTTGTTTAATCTTTCTTTTTAATATTATCTTACCCTTCTTCCCATTCTTTTTCCTAAATTGAGGCCTTTGTGATCATTTCCTTGGCCTAATTAGAATAGTCTTCTGATCTTATAATTTTTATTCTCACACATCTTTAGTTATCTGCTATTTTGCTACTGATGTGATCATTAAAAGTTGCAAATCAGAACATAATATTTTCCTGTTTCAAAATTCTCTTTTGGGTACTTAAAATAATTAAAAGTTGTTAACACAGTAAAGCTTCTACCAACCTTACTAGCCATCCGTCTGTCTATATATACTTAACTGTTGATAGTTTCATTGCTGCATCAGGGTTTTCATGCCCTTGCACATGCTGCTTTCACTGTCTACAGTATCTTGCTCACATCATCTTGCTCATCTTGAAGGCTCAGCTCAAATGTCACCTCTTTTTTTTTTTCTTTTTTTTTGCTGCTGGAACGTCCCCGACCAGGGATCGATCCTGCGTGCCCCTCAGTGGAAGCGCGGAGTCTTAACCACTGGACCACCAGGGAAACCCCTGTCACCTCTTTTTATATTTAGCGTTTCTGCATTATCCCTACCCCAGTAGGCTTGCCATTCACTCCTTTGTGCATCCATGATACCCTGTAGGACTTCTCCTTTGTACCCAAAGTCCTTTATTATATTTTTCACATGTATGTTTCCTGCCATTTCAAAGGCAGGATCTATGTCTTTACTCATGTTTCTATTCCCAGCATATGGGAAAAAGTGAAAAAGAGTACATGATCAGCTTTGTAACCATTGGCATTTTGGTCTGTCTTGTTAATAGAACAGTGAACTACTGATGAGATGTTGCACTTCAGTCACAATATTGCTATAACAAATTCCTGGAGAATCTCACCTTGTGAAATTCCTGGGGAATTTGAAAAATTTTAATAGTAATTATTGGAGTTATTGTTTACAGCAAAATTGATAGAATCACTGATGAATTCTATTGGTCTTCCTGTATCAGAAATTACTAGTTAAAGGTTTTTATTTGTTGCAGCAAATAAATATATATGAAATATTTAGAGTTGACAAGTAGATTGAAAATACATTGTGGGGAAATGCTCACATTATTTTTCTTCATCATCTCTCGTCACACTAATTAACATAAATATTAGTTATTTCCCCCTAAACTTTGGCAAGAAAGGATTCTGAAAACCTTTTATTTTCCTTTGAGATGCTCTCATTGCCAGTAGTGGCCAGCTGTGGTAAAACAGTCCTGTTGCTTTAGATAATTAAAGTTTGGTAGATTAAATTGTAAAAAGCCCAGTGAAGCATACATTTGAGATTTAGAATTGTTTTTTCTTTTCAGTAATTATTTTGCTGTAGATACTGCATCAGCCATAGCCATTGCTCTGATGACATTTGGCACTATGTATCCCATGAGTGTGTACAGTGGGAAAGTATTACTCCAGGTAAGGCTCTTCTTTCAATATGCATGCTTAAAATTAGCTATGTTCTTTTACCAGATTATAAAACAGTATGGGTTCTTCTACCAGATGATGAAATTTTTAGCTACTGGAGGGCACTGTTGGAAATGAAGCCAAACAATAATCTCTGAAATTTGAATAGTAAGAACCAGATGGTACTTCCCTGGTGGCGCAGTGGTTAAGAATCCGCCTGCCAATGCAGGGGACATGGGTTTGAGCCCTGGTCTGGGAAGATCGCACGTGCCATGGAGCAGCTAAGCTTGTGCGCCACAACTACCGAGCCTGCACTCTAGAGCCTGTGCTCTGCAACAAGGAAAGCCACCGCAGTGAGAAGCCCTTGCACCAAAATGAAGAGTATCTCCCGCTCACTGCAACTAGAGAAAGCCCGCATGCAGCAACAAAGACCCAGCTCAGCCAAAAATAAATAAATAAATAAATGTATTTTTTAAAAAAAGAACCAGATGAAGTTCTATTGATGCACAAAATAGGCACAGATCTTCATGTAGTTGTAAGGCAAAAGCATAAATGAAAATATTTTGCCTCTAATAATGTTTCAAGTGAAAACAATATTACTTAAAATCTTTTTTAGATATTCATTTTCCCCTAATAAATGTGCTTTGGCTATTGTATAATCTGGTTATGATTGTTTTCTTATTTTCTATTCTTGAATTAGTGAGACTTTTAAATTTAAAATGCGAAATCACTACTTATTGAAACAATAGGAACACCTGTAGACAAGCACCTGAATAGAAAGGTAGTTTCCCAGGACTAGATGAATGTGTAAGCACTGCTTTTCCTTCTGTCTTTCCCTCATGCCTTTTCTAAAACTTATGGGTTGTATCTCCCGCTCCAGAAGCAGTAATAACAATTAGATTAGTTTTATAGTGTTATGCCTTATACAAAATTTTACTTTCTTAAAGATTTTTTTATTGATTATTTGGTTCTAGAGATAGCAGCTTTTTTGCAATATGAGAAATAAGCATGGGCTGATTTCTGATGCTGCTTTATTAGTGGGTCAATTAAAGCCTTTCTTCCCTAAATCATGATAGGGCACATGTGAAACAAAGCAAAGGCTGGTGTAAAACCCAATTTTTTTAGTGTCAGGACTACTGTTGCAAAAGGTTTTTCTCTCTCTAAATTCATATTTTATTTTATTTTTTTCCCCAGACAACACCACCCCATGTTATTGGTCAGTTGGACAAACTCATCAGAGAGGTAAGATGGAATAATAAGTAAAATCATTTTAATTTATAATTAGAGAATGCAAAGAGTGGGTAAAAATAATTTCAACTCTTTCTAGAATTTTATTTTAGGGAAGTTTTTGTTCTTTACAATGATATAGTAGGAGACATGACATAGTGACAAAAATAGAACAATTTGACGAATTGCGCAGTCTGGAAGCCAGATTCACTTGAAATATTGGGTTGGCCAGAAAGTTCATTTGAATTTTTCCATAAGATGTTATGAAAAACCGGAACGACCTTTTTGGCCAACCCAATAAGTGTAGACGGTAATGGTCTAAAGGCCACACTATTTGTTATATAAATGCTGTGATTTTTATGATTTTGTATTCAAACCTAGGATTTTGATTACGTCAGAGGCCACCTTTACATGGTGATTGCTTCAGCACCTAATATCTTGATCTGTAGGTTTAGATTTTGTATTGTTATAAAATTCCAACTGTTAACTAATGAAGGAATAAGATAATCAAATTATTTGAATGTTGAGAGTGTTTTAAACTATTGGTTGTCAGTATCACAGAGGCCACTTTGATCAATATAGCTGGCCACTTGCTTCAGCTAGTGGGGTCTGTGCCACTGTATCAATGGGCCACACACTGTATATCTGGCCTTGGAATTTCCTTTTGGCCCATATCCAAATAACATCCTGTATTGTACAGAAATTTGTTAAAAGGGGATCCGGAGAAAGGAATGATTGAGAAGACAAAAACATTCTGATACCACAAGTGCTGAATATAAATATATACTATACTAATAAGATGAAAAGAACTACACACTGTTGAACAAGGTGTGAATGAGGGAAGTAAAGACCTGATTCTTGAGGGATTGGTGCAGAGAATAAACTGGAAAAGAAGGCCCTGGCTTAGTATTGAACAAGCAGAAATGGTATCTGGAGTGAATGGTCTGGGACTTCTCTTGGCTAGTAAGTGTCTTCAGGCAGGGTTTGGCCATGTCATTTCTAGGCTTACAGCAAATCCATAATGTGACTGAATTGTGTTGGATATGTCAAATACAAAAGCCCTATTTCTGTGTTTTTGATTAGGTATCTACGTTGGATGGAGTTTTGGAAGTCCGAAATGAGCATTTTTGGACCTTAGGTTTTGGCTCATTGGTATGCTTTCTATATATTACTTTAGTTTAAACATAGTTTAAAACATAGTTATAAAACAAAGTTTATAAACTGAGTTTATACTTTTTAAAACTGAAAAAAGTATTTCTTTAAAATTTTTGTAGATCCTTTGATTCCCATTTCTGTTCAATAAAGTAAAAAATGTAGATGGATTTAGTAACCTAATTGAGAATTGTTTTTCTTCTTTCATTTTTTTCCTTTCAAACTAAATGATCTCAATACTGGGCTGTCCAAAAAAGAAAAATCCTAAATACAAAAATGTTACAGAAGTAAAATGTGCAATTATTTTCTTTTTTATTACCATTCTTATTTTGGATATTTTTGCTGAATTTGTTAAAGAGTTATAATAACAGCTGCTTCAGCATAAAATTCCGTGTTTTCTAGTCCAATTTAGACCTCATTACCAAAGAGATTTTGTTATGGCATGATTTTATTCCTGTGTCAGGAATGATGAGGAAAATACAGGAAAGTACCCAGAAAAAACAAATTTAAACAACCATAATCCTATTGATGTTTTGGTATTAATACTTGTATACTTACTCTCTTTAGAAAATGAGGTAATGCTGTTTTATAATCTGCTCTTTTCACTTAATATATAATGAACAGTTTTCCATGTTATTAAATACTACTCTTCTATAATATCATTTTTAAAAAGAAAATAGGATTTGACTTTTGTAGCATAACACAGATTTCAGAGGTAGGCAGATTAGGGTTGGTCCAACAGCTCAATGATATCACTACTTTGCAGTCTTTAGTTTCAGGCTTATACTCTTTTAGCAAAAAATGGCTGCTTCATCTCTTCCTTTTCCTTCTCTTCCCCTCTCTAGTCTTTTGGATATCTAAAACTCATTCTCTAGTAAATTCTTCAGGAAAGGCCCTTGGGAACAATATTCCCTAAATTTTTGAATGTTGAAAACAGTTGTGAACATTATATTTGAAAATCATTTAGCCGGATATAAAATCCTGAGCACATATTTTATTTCCTTGAGTTTCTTAAATATATTACTCCATTTTCCTCTGGCATAAAGCATTATGGTGATAAAGCCTGATCATACATAGTCTGATTTTTTTTTCACCTTTATATGTGACTTGATCTTTTTGCTTCTATACCTAAAAGATTTTTAAAAATTAATTAATTTATTTTTTGGCGGCATTGGGTCTTCGTTGCTGCGTGCAGGCTTTCTCTAGGGGGCTTTTCTTGTTGCAGAGCATGGGCTCTAGGTGTGGGGGCTTTAGTAGTTGCAGCACATGGACTCAGTAGTTGCAGCTCGAGGGCCCTAGAGCACATGGGCTTCAGTAGTTGCAGAACGTGGGCTCAGTAGTTGCAGGTAGCGAGCTCTAGAGTGCAGGCTCAGTAGTTGTGGCACATGGGCTTAGTAGCTCTGCGGCATGTGGGATCTTCCCAGACCAAGGATCGAACCTGTGTCCCCTGCATTGGCAGGTGGATTCTTAACCACTGCGCCACCAGGGAAGTCCCTTGCAGTTCACTTTTTTTTTAATATTTTTAAATTTATTTTATTTATTTGGTTGTGCCAGGTCTTAGTTGAGGCAAGCAAGCTCCTTAGTTTGGCTCGTGGGCTCCTTAGTTGCAGCACGCAGTTCAATCCCCTGACCAGGGATTGAACCCAGGCCCTCCCTGCATTGGGAGTGTGGAATCCTATCCACTGTGCCACCAGGGAAAGCCCCCTTACAGTTCACTTTTAATCATTCTTTTAATTGTATTGATAGTAACAAACTAGTAGACAAGTGTTTATTTAGCTGGGTGGCTTATAAACACAATCATCTCTGCTGTTCAGAACTTGGCCATCCAACAGCTACACCAATGTGATGCCTAATTAAGACCAAGGAAATTAATAAAACAAGCTTTTGGGCTGCCAGGAATAATTGTCACAAAAGCCATAGATTATTGCAAACACCATTATCATAGGACCCTGTTCAAGCTCATACTTGGAAATGGTTTTCACTTATTTTAATTGCTTTGACTTCCATATCAGACTGAAAGAGGAGATACAGTATCTTTTATAATTTTGTATAGTGAAAACTGAGATTACCATCTCACAGTGGCAAAGGAAAAGGAGAAATCAAAGATGACTCAATTTGTAGACATGGCTTTTCTTACTTAAAAGTAATAAAAATGGAAGTCAAATTCAAGCAGTAAGATATTTTCTTTATCTCATGATTGGCAATAACTCTCTTATTAGTGCTCAAGCCATAGATTTAGACCCATTGTAACTAAGCCAACTATTTTGCTAATTTAGGTGCTGTTATAGTTTTTTCTTTTTTTTAACTCTGAGTTTATCTAAAAATCAACAATGTCTGCTGTATATTTTATTTACTATATATTTTTGTTCTGTCTGTTGCTTGTTTTTTTAGTACGTATTTTTATTTAAGTTTTTATTATACAAATATACCCCATTGTTAGAAAAATTAGAACTTAAGTCAAAAAGAACAAAAATCCTTAATAATTCTACCATCTAGAGATAAGTGCTGTCATTCTTTTTTCCCCCCAACATAGTGATTTGATATTTTTATAGATTATATACCATACTAAATTATAAAATATTGACTGTATTCCCTGTGTTGTACATTACATCCCTGTGACTTACACTTATTTTATAACTGTTCGTTTGAATCTCTTAATAACCCTTCACCTATTTTGCCCCTTCCCTCACCCCTCTTTCCTCTGGTAACCATTAGTTCTCTGTATCTGTGAGTCTATTTTTGTTTTATTCTGTTTGTTCATTTGTTTTGTTTTTTAGATTCCACATATAAGTGGAAACATACAGTATTTGTCTTTCTCCATCTGACTTATTTCACTAAGCATAATACCCTTCAGGTCCATCCAAGTTGTTGTAAATGGTGAGATTTCATTCTTTTTTATGGCTGTGTAATATTCCACTCTACATGTATACCATGTCTGTATCCATTTATCTGTCAGTGGGCACTTCGGTTGCTTCCATATCTTGGCTATTGTAAATAATGCCACTATGAACATTGGGGTGCATTTATCTTTTTGAATTAGTGTTTTCATTTTCTTCAGATAAATACCCAGGAGTGGAATTGTTGGATTGTATGGTACTTTCGTTTTTAATTTTTGAGGAACCTCTGTACAGTTTTCCCTAGTGACTGTAACACTTTACATTCTCACCAGTGATGTACTGTGGTTCCCTTTTCTCCATATCTTTGCCAACACTTGTTATTTTTTATCTTTTTGACAGTAGCCATTTTGATAAGTATGAGGTGAAATCTCATTGTGATTTTGATTTGTATTTCCCTGATGATGAGTGATGTTGAGCGTCCTTTCATGTTCCTGTTGGCCTTTTGTACGTCTTCTTTGGAAAAATGCCTGTTCAGGTCCTCTGCCTGCACCCCCACTTTTTTTTTTAATTGGAGTGTAGTTCATTTACAATGTTGTGTTAGTTTCAGGTGTACAGCAAATTGATTTAGTTATACATAAACATACGTTCATTCTTTTTCAGATTCTTTACCCATATAGGTTATTACAGAATATTGAGCAGAGTTCCCTGGGCTATACAGTAGGTGCTTGTTGGTTATCTGTTTTATATATAGTAGTGTGTTTTTGTTAATCCCAAGCCCTTTTTTTTTTTTTCCTGGCCACACCACGTGGCATGTGGGATCTTAGTTCCCCGACCAGGGATCAAACCTGTGCCCCCTACAGTAGAAGCACGGAGTCTTAACCATTGGACCACCAGGGAAGTCCCCCAAGGCCATTTTTTAATTGGGTTTTTTTATTTTTGATGTTGAATTGTATGAGTTCTTTATGTCCTTATCAGACATATCATTTGCACATGTCTTCTCCCACTCACTAGGTTGCCTTTTCATTTTATTGATGGTTTCCTTCACTGTGCAAAAGCTTTCTAGTTTGATTAGGTCCCGTTTGTTTATTTTTGCATCTGTGGCCCTTGCCTGAGGAGGCAGATCAGAAAAATACTGAGAAGACTGATGTTAAAGACCTTACTGCCTGTGTTTTCTTCTAGGAGTTTTATGGTTTCAGGTGTTAAATTTAAGTCTTTGATCTGTTTTAAGTTTATTTGTGTATATGGTATGAGAAAATGTTCCAGTTTCATTCTTTTGTATGTAACTGTCCAGTTTTCCCAGCACCACTTATTGAAGGGACTGTCTTTTCCCCATTGTGTTTTCTACCTCCTTTGTTGTCGATTAATTGACCATATGTGTGTGGGTTTATTTCCAGGCTCTCTGTTCTGTTCCATTGATCTATGTGTCTGTTTTTGTGCCAGTACTATACTGTTTTGATTACTGTAACTTTTATAGTATAATTTGAAGTCAGGGAGCATAATACCTTTGTTCTTCCTTCTCAAGATTGCTTTGTCTATTTGGGGTCTTTTGTGGTTCCACATAAATTTTGAGATTACTTCTTCTAGTTCTGTGAAAAATGCCATGGGTATTTTGATAGGGTTGCATTGAATCTGTAGATTGCTTTGTGTAGTATGGACATTTTAACAATATTAATTCATCCAGTCCATGAACACAAACTATCTTTCCATTTATTGGTATCATCTTTAGTTTCTTTCATTGGTGCCTTATAGAGTATGGGTCTTTTACCTCCTTGGTTAAATTTTTTTTTCTTAATTAATTAACTTTATTTTATTTATTTTGGCTGCGTTGGGTCTTCGTTGCTGCACGCAGGCTTTCTCTAGTTGTGGCGAGTGGGGGCGGCTCTTCGTTGTGGTGCGCGGGCTTCTCATTGCAGTGACTCCTCTTGTTGTGGAGCATGGGCTCTAGGCCTGCAGGCTTCAGTAGTTGTGGCTCGCAGGCTCTAGAGCGCAGGCTCAGTAGTTGTGGCTCACAGACTTAGTTGCTCTGCAGCATGTGGAATCTTCCTGGACCAGGTCTAGAACCCGTGTCCCCTGCATTGGCAGGTGGGTTCTTAACCACTGCACTACCAGGGAAGCCTTCCTTGGTTAAATTTATTCCTAGATATTTTATCCTTTTTGATTCAGTTGTAAGTGGGATTTTCTTGATTTTCCTTTTTGATAGTTCATTATTAGTATATAGAAATGCAACAGATTTCTATATGTTAGTTTTATATCCTGAAACTTTACTGAATTCACTTATTAGTTCTAATAGTTTTTTGGTGGAGTCTTTAGGGTTTTCTATATATAGTATCATGTCTTCTGCAAATAGTGATAATTTTACTTCTTCCCTTCCAATTTGGATGCATCTTATGTCTTATTCTCCTCTGATTGTTGTGGCTAGGACTTCTAATACTATGTTAAATAGAAATGTCAAGAGTGGGCATCCTTGTCTTATTCCTGATCTTAGAGGAAAAACTTTCAGCTTTTCATCATTGAGTATGATGTTAGCTGTGTGTTTGTCATAAATGGCCTTTATTATTTTGATATATGTTCCCTATATACCAACTTTGTCGAGAGTTTTTATCATAAATGGTGTTGAATTTTGTCAAATGCTTTTTCTTCATCTATTGAGATGATCATGTGATATCATTCTTGGTATTTTTCTGTGTGTGTGTTTTAATCAAACTATGAACATTGTTGTACCTGTTATTTTACTATCTTTTAAAGACAAAATGTATGATGGACATCTTATCAAGTTAATAAGCATACTTATAACCATCATTGTAATGCCTGGTGCTCTGTATCCTAGTATCCTAGGCTAGAAACCTTGAGATCATCTTTGATGACTTCATCTCCCTCATTCATTATATCCAGTTGAGAATTAAGATCGCCCATGGAATATCATGAATCCATCTGTCCCTCTCTGGTCCCACTATATCTGTCCTATCTCAGCCTTCTTCATTTCTAACCTAGACTGTTGCAGTCATTTCCTAACTAATTAGCAATTATCCATAACTGTAATTTTCTGAACACTAATTATTTTACTTCTGTTTGATTGCTGCAACTAAAACTCCTTACTCATGGTTTTTAGAACCCCCTCCTAGCCTTTCTTTTTACCTTTATTACCTGACCTATCTTTCTTCTTTCTGTTCTTCCTTTCCTTATTTGTTTCCTCCTTTCCTCTTCCTTTTCTTCCTGTCTTTTCTCTCTTTCATTGTTTTTCTGCTCCCTGAAATATTGTACTTCTTTTTATATAATAATATTGCTTATTCTTGCCCAAACATGCCATGGGTTTTAATTGCTATTCCCTCAGCTTAGAATGCCTGTCTCCGCCTTTCAAAATTTCATTTGACCACCAACCCAGATCAAATGCCATCTTCTTTTGAAGTCTTCCTCAATTGAATTAATACCTGCATTTTCTGACCTTTCAGTGCATTTTCCATATACTTCATTTGTATTCTGCCTTGTGTTACAACATGTCTGCCTTCCTCCTACATGGATTTCTTTTTTTAATATTTTAAAAAGTCACATTTTATTTAGAGTCATAAATTATTTTATTAACTCTTTACATTGATAATTACTACTAAGTAGTCTTTAAGGAATATCAAGACATTAAGTTTTCTCTTGTTTTAAAGAAAATACCAAGTAATGTTACAACCAAATCATAAATAAAATGTTCATTTCTAATGGAATTTTCAGTAGTATAATTCTAAGCAGTCTCTTTCATATGATTTTGTCCCTTTTAGGCTGGATCTGTTCATGTGAGAATTCGACGAGATGCAAATGAACAAATGGTTCTTGCTCATGTGACCAACAGGCTGTACACACTAGTATCTACTCTGACTGTTCAGATTTTCAAGGATGATTGGATCAGGCCTGCCTTACTGTCTGGGCCTGTTGCAGCCAATGTCCTAAACTTTTCAGATCATCACATAATCCCAATGCCTCCTTTAAAGGGTACTGATGATTCCAACCCTGTTACATCAACTCCAGCTAAACCCAGTAGTCCACCTCCAGAATTTTCATTTAACACCCCTGGAAAAAACGTGAGCCCAGTTATTCTTCTTAATACTCAAACAAGACCTTATGGTTTGGGTCTTAATCATGGACACACACCTTATAGCAGCATGCTTAATCAAGGACTTGGAGTTCCAGGAATTGGAGCAACCCAAGGATTCAGGACTGGTTTTACAAATATACCAAGTAGATATGGAACTAACAATAGAATTGGACAACCAAGACCATGATGTACTGTAATTTAATTTATTTTTATGAGGAATATTGACTCCTTGGCTTTCAGTTTATTTAGTAATCCAACGTTGCATCGACTGTTAAATCATTTAATTAGAGAATAGTAGGTTTGTTCACATTTCATGAAACCAATGAAACTATATTTTTGTAAAATGTATTTGGGGCAGTGAGAACCTTCTAAATGTTATAGGCTTTAAATAGGCTTCCTTTAGAAAGCTGTTTCTCTAAATTTGAATTTTGCTATCTTTGGTTTCGTAGTTGACTGCAGTGTGATATAACACTACCTTTATAAGAGAGCCACTTGATAGAGTGGATCTGTCACATTATTAAAAATATAATACTTTCTTCAGTGAAATTTATAAACATGCTTCTTGAGTACACATTTTAGGAAAAGAAAAAATCCATTTTAAAAGTAAAAGTCTCTTTTATAGATTTTCCAAACATAATTGCTACATTTTCCTTTGAGGTCCTCCTGAATTATGTCTTGCAAAGTAGAAGCAAACATTTTTATCAGAAATTTTAAAACATATTTTACCATCTGGCACAATTTAAAATTTTTCAGTTTTTTAATAGTTTTTCTCATTAAAAAATTTCAGTACATTTGTAAGTGGCCCATCATTCTCAAAGTGTTTTATTTTGGTTAAATAATACCAAATCCTTAGGTGATATGCAGTGAAGGAATCCCAGTTTTCTGTCTTACATTTAACCAAATACTGACATAATGATAGATTTATCTTTTTTGTCACCTTTTCATTGGTTGACTTTAATTCCTCATTTTATTAACAAAATATATCACATATATTACCAGAATAGGTGGAATTCCATACGTAGTAATACGATTTAATCTTTTTTCAAAGTTGCATGAACAATTTGAGTTTACATTATATAATTTTACCAAAACATAGTGGACCCTAGGTTATAGAATACAGTATTGTTATATCTGCATTAGGCAGTTTCTAACTTACTTTGTTTTGCTTTATTGAAAAGTGAATCAAAGTGTGAGAATCATGTAAATTATTTTTAAATTATTTTCCAAATGCAAATGTTAAGGACTTTCTAACATGGCCAGCATTACTTATAAAAAGTATAACAAGCAGCCGTCACAGATTACCTATGAGATTTTTTTTCATTTTATCATGAGTTTTATAATTAGGTTTTAAAAACGGATTTTGAGAGTGGATTCAACTTTTCTAGAATCCAGTACTCCTGAAGATTTCTGACATTTCCAGCCATCAGCAGCTATCTAGAGAAGATTTTTTTTTTTTTAGATTTTGCAAGTTTCTTCAATAAACTCATCCTCTTTTAAATATGAGCAACAGTCCCAAATCCTGTTTCTTTACAGTAGAATCATAAACATCTAAGAAGCCATCTCTGTCGAGCAGAATTGTAGTCATCCTGTGATAAGTGACAATGTCCCAAATAACTTTTGCTTGATGAGGAGTTGATCATTGTCTTTGACATCTGCAACCCTGTTCAGGCACTTGACCTGCTGAAGAAATAGAGCCCACGCTACCTTGACTGCCGGGGAAAGTGAAACTTTGTAAAATGTGATAAGGCAACCTGTTCCTTGACATTTGTCTTATGTTCTCCAACTATTACTATACCTATTATTGGTCTACTATTACAGGGTGATTTTTCCTCCATTGACCTCATCTAAACGTGAATTCGGGTCATGCATGAAATCTGAAGAACTGCCGTGTACTGAGTGATGATTAAGAGGTATGTGCTGCCATGCTATGCATGTCTTCTCCATCTCCAGGGGATTTTTAAAGTGCCCAGGTACTGAACACAGTTCTGTGAGATGTTAAATGCCTATTTCCTCAACACCCATTTAGAGGTAACACCCGTGCAATTAATTGTCCTTCCAAAGGTGCTTTGATACCCACCTACACTATTTGAGAAGTTGCATATGGGTTCTGAAAGAATTGGCTCTACTTGCTGAAATTCAGTATTGCCAACTGCTTCAGGTGGCATTGTTCCAGGCATTATTATATAAAGAAGTCATATTTGCCAAGATCTGACCAGGTTCTGGATATGAAAATAAGAAGCTTGCCCAGCATAGGCCTAGATGTAGTAGCCTTACTAGTAAATCTTGCCACAGAGTTACTTGAAGCTAGACAAAGAAGCAAGTTTGAATTAAGTACTTGACCCATGGTTTGTGATTAAGAGCAAGCTTCATGGAATATGATTAATCCTGTTTGAGAAATTGCTATCATTTAACTTCTATGAGGTTTCTCATCTGTAAAGTTAGGGTGAGAGATGAAGTAGTTGATCTGGAAACTATCAGCTCTAAAATTGTATGACTAAATCTGCCAAATATATGCTCACTTGTGAAACGGAATATTGTACCTAGTATTTCTTTGCAGTGACTACCTCAGCATTCAGGCCAAGTGTTACCTATGCCAATACCCAAGCCATTAATTGGAGATGCCATGAGAGCAGAGGGTAAACTACAGGTTGACACCAATTTGGTTTTTGTTTATTTCAGACTTGCCTCGACTTAAATCTGTTTAGATTAAACAGATTTTTCTTAGACTTCTTTCTTTGTAGGGAAGGATTATTTTTGGAGGTGGTAGGGAAAAGATTAGGGCAGGGTACCCTTAGCTTCCATAGGGTACAAAATAATGGGTCCATTTTTTCTTTCTTCCTTAATCTCTGAAGTCACAGATGGAATTACATACACGTATCAGCAACTGGTTTAGCTACTCATTCAAGCCTCTGATTTAGCTACTCATAAACTGCCAATTTTTTGCTTAACTAAAGATTGCTGATCTTTTTGGGGAGTCTGATCTGCTTCTTATGTAAGAAAATACTTTTTAAATTCCAAATTGTTTGAATTAAACTGTTTGAATAAAGAACATACATGGTGTTTTCTCTCTGCTTTTAAATAATTTTGGCCTGTTCTTTATTGGTAACTTTATCCCATATTCAGCAAATACTTGTTGAGAGTATAGTACATGCCAGGCCCTGTACTGAGTAAATGTGCATACAATATATAAATTTTGCTGATCTGCTATTCTTGAGACCAAAGGGAATACAAGGATAAACAGGAGTCCCCTTCAAGTAACTGATACTCCTAGTAGAAGTGATGGGACACCAGAACTATTTATGTCAAGTTAAACTCCCTCCCATTTCCTCCTCTTCTTTGGGCTCATTTTCTTGGCATCCTCCTCTTTTCCTTCTCCTTTTTATTTGAATGATGAAACTAAGAAAGTAGATTTCCATGGAAGAGGCCAGCTAGGGAGGTGATGGTGCCACACATCATCCTGATATCAGTAAAAGAAGAAAAAGTTTAGAAGGGGTGAGTTAGGCAGACACTGAAGGATATTTTTTAGGTGTATAGTGGATTGCCATTTACTTTCAGACTGTTGGACTAGATGAGCAAAGGTTTTTAAATCACCAGGCTGAAAGTAATGGGGTCCCCAGAGCATTCATGGGCTTAGGGTACCCTTTATTTAAGCAGTTACTAGTTTAAAAGCACCTTTAATAACACTGACATCATAGTCATCAAATTGCCACCCAAGAAGCCTAGCTTCTTGGAGAAAAGTTAATTTGGATAACACATGGCTAAGCTTTCTGACTAATGATGCATCAGGTAAAAGTCTTTCAGTACTGAAGTCAAAAAACACCAATTGCTTAAGATTCTCAAATGCACTCATGAAGGCAAGCCATCCATCACTGCTCACACAATTTCCTGCCAAATCCAGCTGTTGGAAGTTTTTCAGAGGGTTCTTTTCAAAAAATGCACCTGAATAAAAAGATAGAAATAAGTATGTTAGCTGGAAGCAAAACAGCTTTTTTTTTTTTTAAGAGACCATGTTTGGACTAGTGCTTTGCTTAAGAAAGAAATCAGAATTCTCTGTAGTTAGAGCAGTGATTGTGAACCTGGTCCTTTATATTTGCAAATTATATTTTTCCTAAAATGTAAGGGAATCTGATAAATAGTAATTAGTATAGCAAACCAATATAAATGAATTATATATTTTTCCCTTTTCCTGACTCTTCCAGGAAATGGAAAATTGCATAAAAATTGAGGTATGAGAGATGCAATTAAAATATTCAGTACCTGTTTTCAAAACTGGAGTCGGAGTTCGACAATATTAGGTCATTTCCTCTTCTGAAGAAGCAAACACTACCTAACTATTGTTTCTTTGGATATGGAATATTCCTAACTGTGAACTTGAGTAAGTAAGTTCCTTCAGTATCTCAAGATTTGGAACTTTGGGCTTATTTTTAACCCTCCCTAGACTCCTCAGGAACTTACTCTTTTCCTTACAGAATAGGGCACTCTAAAGTACCTCCTACAAAGGGAAAGTAAACATCCTAGCCATTACCATGAAATCAAAGATAACACCCTAAGGAATGGAGGAGTAAAGAAAAAGTAGGTTTCTGGGTCTGAAAGACTGCACAGAGCAAAGCCACCCCAACTGCCTGGACTGCCCACTTCTGAGTATTATAGGAGAGGGGTTCTGTGTTCTGTAAGCCAAAGTGTGGTTGGGTCTTTTGTTACACCAGCTTAGCCTGTGCCCAGCCTAGCTCATACATAGGGCCTCACTTTCTCCTCTCTTTCTCCTTCCATAATGAGCCCTTCTCTCTTCCTTATAGGTAACTTTCTTCCTGCTCTCTCTTATCCCTCATGTTCAAGTCCTTTCTGCCTCTGCTGTCTTTCCCATATGCTTCCCAGCATGGCATGTGGTCAGTCAAAATACTGGTTGCCAATTAGCGTGTCTGTATATAAGGCTCCTTCCCCAAAGAGCAACTTCATTTCTCCTTCCCAACTAGTAGAACAGATTTCACCACCTAAAAGGAACTTTAACAGAGAAGAATTTCAAGCCCATTCCATCCTCAGAGGGTAAGCTCTTTATACAGGCTGTCTGCCAAGCTTAAAGAATAAGAGAGCTTCTTGCATAATTACTAGAATATGCGCAAGCAAAAGAACCAAGAACAAGCAATATAATCCATAATCAAGGGCATGCATTTTGTTCATTTAATCTGCAGAGGAGCAAACTACTGAGAAAAGAGGGATCTGTGACATTTAGAGCTGTAGGCTATACGTGGGCTGTGGAGAACACAAGTGGCTCGATCCAAATTTCAGGCAGAATCTCAAATCCTCTGGGTAGAAGGATTCTGATCCTTGAAGGTCCTTTCATCCTAAACAAAACTCTAGTGTTGCCAGAGACCACCCTGTAGTTCCCCTGACCCAGAGCTCTTACCATTTATTTATTCAGCAAATATTTTTGAGTGCCTACTGTGTACCCTGGATTGTGCTAGGTGCTGGGGATATGTAAAAGGACATACATGGTCTCTGTCTCATTGGGCTTATAATATAGTGCGAAAACATACATTATAAAGTAATTACTGGCACAACATTGTAAATCAACTATACTTCAATAAAAATAAATAAATTTAAAAAAAAGTAATTAGATGGGTGTTAGGTGCTGTGGTAAGTCAGGGTGCCCTGGGAGCACACAAAGGCAATAGGCTTTGCAACTCCACTTTGTTTCCAGAGCAGTAGCAATTGGGCTTACATGCTTCAGGAGTAAGGATCCTTCTCAGGTAGTATTGAATTGCCTCCAAGGAAAGGCTCCACAAAGGAAGAGTCTATTTTTCTTTCCTCATCACCCACAGTGAACCTAACCCCCTCCCTCAGGTGCACAGAGCTTCCTATCAACTTGTGCCTCACTCTAAAATAAGAAGAGAACAGTATAGGAATACCAGACAATTGAGAACAGCCGCCAACAAGGAAGGCTGTTCCTTTGACTAAAAGCCAAACAAAAATGAGGCAACATAGGGAACAGGAAAAACTAACATCAAAAACCTAGTTTTTTTCAGAGACCCTAAAAAGTTACTGCGTTTAACACAACAAAAATAAGATGCTATTTTTTTAAAAGAATACAATTAGAAAACAAGAAAGAGCACTTGGAAAATTATCAGGATCCATGTGGCAGAATGATTTGGCCCAGGATTTACCACTGAGCTAGAACATGAGTATGGTCTGTGGTGGGCTTTTTTTGTTTTTTGTTTTTTTTTGAGAACAAACTGGATAATGGAGTTCAGATGTGATGGCTGTCTTTTTGAGAACATGCTGGATAAGAGAGTTCCGCCTCAAACATTTAAATCAAACTATGTCGTCTAAAAAAGGGTTAAGTTAAAACAGGTGAAATAGATCCCTGAGCTAGCGATGATTTCTTTCTGATAGTCCCAGATTGCTGATGGGCTAGAAACAAAATTTTGGGAGTCAGAATTTTAAAATGGCACTTAAAGCTTTAAGATTAAATGTAATCTCTAAGGAAGAAGAGCAGAGAACCTAGGACCAAGTTTTAAGAGAAATTTGGAGCATTTAATATCTATGTAGAAGAATTGCCATTGCAAAGGACACGGAGAAGTAACCAAGGTAGCATGGAAGTCAAGAGCACATTTCAAAAAGGAGGGGGAGTGCTCAGTGTCAACTTTTACACAGGTAAGTGAAACACTTTGGAAATTTTCCATTGAATTAAGACACATGCAGGTGTGTAGAGAATCAGCTGGAATGAGTAGGAAGCAGAGGATGATCAGGAAGTGGAGATGTACTGAGGGTACATAAATTTTTGCCTCGAAGGGAAAGACAGGGGTTGATAGATAGCCATAGTAGGAAGATAGGAGTCAGGAAGAGTTTTATTTAAAATGAGAGAGATTTGAGCATCTTTAAAAACTGATAGATAATGAAAAAAAAAACTGATAGGAAAGAGTCAGTAAAGAGGGGCATAATTGGTGAAATGATGTCCTTGAACAGGAATGAGGGCAGGGCTGGGATCTGAAGCACAGCTAGAGCACAGAGACTGCCCTTAGATAGGAGGGGAGAGACCTACTATAATGTAACAGGAGGAGAGAGGGAAAAAATAATCAAATCCACTGTGAAATAGTGGAAGACTGGTGGATTAAGGAGAATAAAGTTTGAAATTGTTTATTTAGAGAGTGCTGCGTACAGAGGCACAGTAAGATTGCCAGGAAATGTTGAGAGATTGTGTTTATTGTTAATGGACCTCATGTATTCAGAATTGGATAGGTCACTAATTTCACCTGTTCACTCATGAATCTGTCACTTGGCCTGAGAATAAGAACATGGGTAAAAACTAGGATCTACTAGTTCCCCCTATTGTACACATCTGCCACCTTCTGACCCAAAGAAACTACTATTCTGATGTAGAGTTTATCATTCTTTTGTATTTTTAAAAATGTGGTTTTGACAAGCACTCTATGTCTAAAAAATACATTGCTTAGGATATACTTTTATGGACTTTTGGGGGAGATGTAATACACATACCATAAAATTCACCCTTTTAAAGTGTAACTGTAGTGGGTTTTAGTATATTCACAAAGTTGTACACTACTATATAATTCCAGGACATGTTAATCATCCCCAAGAATAAACTCCACAGTCACTAGCATTCATTCCCACCCTACCCCTGACATTGGCAACCATTTATCTACTTTCTGTTACTATAGATTTGCCTATTTTGGACATTTCATATAAATGGAGTCATACCATAATGTGGTCTTTTGTGACTGGTTTCTTTCACTTAGTATGATATTTTCAAGGTTCATCCATGTTATAGTGTATTCTAATACTTCATTCTTTTTATGGCTGAATAATACTCTATTATATGGATATATCACATTTTGTTTATCCATTCAGTAGTGATGGACATTTGGGTTGTCCAAACATGCTATGAACATTGCTGTACAAGTTTTTGTATGGACATATATTTTCATTTTCTCTTGGGTACCTCAGGGTGCAATTGGTAACTCTATGTTTAACCTTTTGAAGAGGTGCCAGAATGTTTTCCTACTCGAAAATTGAATGTTTCCAATTTCTCTTATGTCCTTGTCAACACTTATTACCTGTTTTATTATAACTGTCCTAGTGGGTTGCAAGAGGCATTTCACTGTGGCTTTGATTTGCATTTCCCTGATGGCTAATGATGTTGAGCATCTTTTCTGATGCTTATTAGCCATTTATGTATCTTCTTTGGAGAAATGCCTATTCAGATCCTTTGCCTTTTCTAAACATTGAGTTGTCTTTTTATCAATGAGTTGTAAGAGTTCTTTATATATTCTAGATAGTAGTCCCTTATCAGATATGTGATATGAGTAAGCCACTACAAACATACATGTGCTTATGTCTCCATTTTGATTAATGAAATTATTTGTGTTGCTCTGTTTTTTCTTGATCAGTCTTGCTTAATTTTTATCTATTTTGTTACTCTTTTTAAAGAACCAACTTTAAGCTTTACTAATCTTTTTTAATTGTATTTTTGTTTTCTATTTCATTGATTTATACTCTTGTGTTTATTGTATTGGGGTTTACTCTGTTTTTCTGGCTTCTTAAATTAGAAACTTACTAATTTTCCAGCCTTTTCTAATATAAGTATTTAAGAAGATGAGAATTTTATTCAAGCCCTGCTTTTGCTGCATACCACAAGTTTCGTTATATAATGCTTTCTTACCATTTGCTCTAAATATTTTTGTTGAAACTTGTCACTATAAACTTGTAGTGTACCTATCTGCCAAATTGTGTGATTTTCCCCAGTAACCTGAGTGTAGGTACAGAAAAAGTGGAAAATTAAGGACAATCCAGGTTTTCAGTTTTGCCAGCAAATACACTGTATCTAATTTCATACCTTTCCACCACATCTCATTTTCTCCCTGCATGTCATTAAGTAGTCTTTCTTTATTTAGAGACTCCACCTCTCATTATACTTTCTTCAT